ATAGATGTAGGTGTGGGGGTGGCTGTGGATATAGATACAGATACAGATATAGATATGGATATAGATAGATATACATTTAGCTTCTCTAACGTCTTGTTCATTCAATTAATTATGTGTGTGTGTGTGTGTGTGTGTGTCGTGGTTCAATAGCTCCGAGGCATGCAGCCACAACACCGCTAGACTATTATTATTTCTTTAGAAATTTTAATGAATGCTTACATTTCTTTTTAAAATCACTTAGACGTGTTTAAGTCCAAGACGAAAGGAAGTTAATCCAACACACTCAAGTTGTCTCCCATGGAATAACACGATTACGCCCCCTTTCTTGGTACACACACTAGACGCACGTATTTTCTTTAGCTAAGCGTAGCCAGATATGCTCATACCAGTCAATAAAAATAGTTGTGTCAATAACGTTTTGGACACGATGTTTTATGAGTTACACGTAAAGGATTTTTTAAAAATTATTTTCAACTGTGTGTACACGTCTATCCAACCCCCACAAAAAAAACCCACTGATGTAATACATCGATTTAAAAATACTACGTAAACCCATCATCTTATAGTTTTATTACACTGGCGGTCTATTTTTTTTTAAAAATCGCGCGTGAAAAAAAATGAAAAACAGAAATTGTGACGTCATCCCCCCACCCCCCCCCCCCCCCCCGTCACACATCGTCAAAAAAGCCAGACCCCCTCCCTAAAACGACCTCTCGCCTCAGCCTTACAGCCCCCATCAAAATTGCAGTTGAATTTTTCTTAAAAATATCGATATTTTTCCAAAATCTTGTCTGAACTCTGTCAACATGAGTATTCTAATCAATCTCTATTACAATTTATGAAACAAGTTTTCTAAAACGCGAAATAACAGCTAAAATTCGTTTTCTAAAAAAAAATTTTGTAATGCAAGAGTGTGACCTCGCGCCATCTAAATCTCCCCCCCCCCCCCCCCCAATCTCCTCATCACACACCGTCAGAAAATTACGGACCTCCCCCTTTTCCTATCAGTGTGACGTCATTTATGGATGACCCCTGGCTTATTTTCGGAGCTTTGTCCAAAAAAAAACATGCTTTATCATAAATCATATGTATAAAAACTTTTTTTTTAAATTACATATTATAAACAAGTCAGGTTCTATTCGTTAGATCATGTATTTTTTAAAAGTCATAATGCTAAAGAAATGATGTGTTACTGCAACTACAAAATTTTCATGTCTTGGTCAAGCACACAACAAAAAAAATAAAACAAAAAAACATTTCCGTGACAGAAGAAGCTTATCTTGGTGGCAGTACACAATACTAACGCCAAGATTGGATATTGATTATTGATTATTTCCAATTATCGTATAGTAAACACTCCTTTATATATGTACATTGAAACTATGTGAGCGTCTATGACCGTTGTGTTTAGAATTATATGTGGTTGCAGAGGAACTGACAATTAAATGTGTAGGTGGTGCATCGTGTATATGACATTGTATATTTGCATATAATTATAATGTCTACATTTTTTGTGAATTTCTAACCACAGCCTGTTGCCTCAATAATGCAGAATAGATACCAAGGAGCGTCTACACCTAAAATGTAGAAATATTTTGCCTCAGACTAGTAACTTACAACAATTTTATTTAAACAATTTTTAAATACTTTTACTTTCAATATAAAACAAGTACAACAACATCATCATTTGCATAATTTCAAATATCAACCGAAACCAAAAGATTTTTTCATTTGTGCATATATCAAAGTCAATGTGTTATTTTTTGTTTTAACAATATACGCATGCTGATAATATATAACCTAATAATAATTCAGTGCTAGTGGAAAAAAAACAACGTCGAAACCAATCGATATTAGGGTCATGGGGGTGGGGGTGGGGGGTGGGTAAGAAAAAACTTGCATGAGAGGGAGGGGGGAGAATTTTGTGTCGGTCAGTGAATCGTGTCGTTGCAATTTTTATTTTTGTAGAAATTGTGTCTGTTGAGTATAAGGTAGGGGATGGTAGGCGTGAAGTGGTTGAAATACTAAAGTTGTTTCCGGGGTGATTTGTGTGTTATTTTCTAAGTAAAACTTAGTTATGAGGTGTTGAAGATTCAGCGGAATATCAAAGTCAATATGTGATTTAAAGTCTTTTCATAATAGAATAAATTAGCTCACAAAGGTTATTACAAGTGAAAAGTAATTGAAGCTGAGTTTATAATTATATACATAACCAAAAACAAAACTAGACTTCATAAAGAGGCTAGTATTAATATTTACCATTGTTTATCAAAAAGTGTTTAAGTAATGCTTAATTTGAAATTCTATTTTAGGTCAGTGGTCGGCAACCTGCGGCTTGATATCAAGATGCGGCTCTCCAGCTCCTTGCACAAATACTAATAATCTTAATCAAAAAGTAAAATATTTGAAATAAAAAAAATGTTAGTGGCTCTTTAAAACCAGGGAAATTTTGAAAATTGTAAATTTTGGCTCTTCCGCTTCAAAAGGTTGCCGATCCCTGTTTTAGGTTGTTGAAAATAGTGTAAGTATTTTATAATAACCGATTTGCGCTGCTCAAACAAGTTAACTACATAGAGTTAATGCACTTATTAAGTGATCATTTTTATATTAACTAACTAGATGGGCTATTTAATAAAGCTGTATAAATTTAGACTAGAGCAAAATGATAATTTTAATGTCAATAAAACATTTTTTAAAAACCGGACAAAATGCATAAATGAATTTGTTATTTACGTATTAATTTAGTAATACATTTTGAATGTCATTTTCGGGTTTGTTACCATTGAATGACTCTTTATTTTCAACAACGTAATTATGGAAACGTAATTGATGTTTTCCCTTGGTTATAAAGGGAAGTAAGCCTATAGAATTAAATATTACATTTTATTACCCTTGCAATATAAAGTATTTTAATAATTTATGTGCAGGCGTATATATATATATATATATATATATATATATATATATATATATATATATATATATATATATATATATATATATATATATAGGCCTATATATATACATGCCCCTTTATATATTATTTTAAATATTTATATATATCTATATATATTTGCATAACATTATCTTTTTATTCGCCAAGATATTAGCACTCGTAGATTTTCTTATTCATAGTGACGAAGACGTTATCAATTAAAACATGAAAAAATATTTTTCTTTGTTCTGTTGCGTAATCAGCGTTTCATTCAGGCGTCTATTCGTGAGCGCCCCCCCCCCCCCCCCGAACAAAATATAATTTATGTAGAAAATATATACTTTCACCCGTGCCCCTGCCCCGGGGAAATTTAGTCGCCCCCCACCCCCCTAGAAGAAAAAAGAGTGAAAGAAACACTGTTCATTGTGTAATTACTCCTCAACCCCCCCCCCCCCCCCCCCCCCCCCATAACTTCATTTTAAAAACACGACGGATGTTTATGTTTTCTCAAGTCAGCCCTGCCTCTCTACGTACAACTGAACTGTTGCTTTTACTCTACTAGAGCTAGCACTGTATCATTGAATAACTAGATGACGAGATATTATATTGAAGAGATGATTGTGTACTTACAACACTGAACTGTTTTTCTTTATTAGAGCAAGCGATGTATCATTGAATAACTAGATGACGAAATATTATATTGAAGAGATGATTATGTACTTACAACACTGAACTGTTGTTTTTACTTTATTAGAGCAAGCGATGTATCATTGAATAACGAGAGGACAAGATATCTTGAAGAGATGATTGTGTACTTATAACACTGAACTCTTTTCTTTATTAGAGCAAGCGATGTATCATTGAATAAATAGATGACGAAATATTATATTGAAGAGATGATTATGTACTTACAACACTGAACTGTTGTTTTTACTTTATTAGAGCAAGCGATGTATCATTGAATAACGAGATGACGAGATATCTTGAAGAGATGATTGTGTGCACTATCTGACATCTAGACCAAGCATGCTCACCGGAAGTGGTCAGGACTCTGGGTACGAAGATGACCAGGTGAGTCATTCTCTTTTCCTGTTCCTGTCCAAGACACATAATACAGGTGAAGTAGAGTTCATCTGTTTCAGCGACCTCGGCATGCAAGGGGAAAGTGTCCGTAGCACATATGCCTGGACGCTTTTGTTTCCTTAACGTGAATCGGGTGCTCATCAGAGCTGGGTGGATTCTGAGACGATCTACATACTCGAGTCCGGGATCCGAACTCGAGACTTTCATGTAAGCAGTCGAGTGAGTAACCAAACAAAAAACACAACACGTAAGTTGGTGTGCGCATGTGAGTACTTGGGCACAACATATGCTCGTGATCCCATATATTCGGAAAGACGATGTTAATTGTATTCTCTTTTTTTTAAATATATATTTTCATAGAGTGAACTACATCGACTCTGCCAGTCAGGAAAACTGAGTGAAATCCTTTCCCTGCTTCACGCATCTCCCAGGGCCTCCAAGCTCCAGTGGTACCATGTAGGTTCATTAATATTTATATATTAGAGGTCAAAGGTTACCTGCCCTTCATTAACCATTGAGTCTAAAGATTATGTTAGTGTAGAGATGAAGTCGAGTTTCTGCGACCTTTGCATATAAAGCGTAACTGTGGTCAGTTCTATGCCCAGCCACTTTTACTTTCCCTAACGCGAGTCAGGAACCCATTAGAACTGAGTTGACTCAAGGACGTTTTACTATCTCGAGTCCAGAATCCGAAGTTTCGGGTTAGCACGAAGATAGCTAAGAAAATAAATAACCCGATAAGCATGATTATCGTAGAGATTTAATGAAACCCAAGAGATTGATTTTTTAAAAACACTTTTTTTTTGTCTTGAATTATCTATATACGTAGGAGGTGAGCGTTATTTTGAATTGGTGGATTTCGGGGACTTATTCAGTCTTTATATCAATTATCATTTCTAGGAAATAAAAATCCAAAGATAAAAATTCGGGAAGGATCGTGGAGTGTTCGTTAAAAAACACACTCGTGTATATTGACTATTTTGATCTATCCAGGATGGTCACTCGGCGCTACACGTAACTATCTTAAGTCACCGGAAGGATGCATGTGACGTAGTTGGCGCTCTGCTGGATAACGGCGCGAACATCAACGCCCAAACATCGGCAGACGGCAACACCGCACTACATCTGGCGGTTTTATCTGGATCTTTTCCTCGGGACATCGACACAATTGTGCTCTTGCTGCAGAGAAAGGCGGACCTTAAGATCAGAAACAAGGTGGTGTCCCTTTAAAATATCTAGTTGTGAAATTCGTTTTTGAATAACATCATAATGATGGGGTTAACGAAGGAGGGGGGGGGGGGGGGCAGAAATTGTGGCTTCATATATTTGCATTTTAAAAAGTTAATTTTTTTTTTTAAATATTAGACATATTTGTAAATTGTAAAACAAAATTGATTTGTGCACCTATTTCGTTATAATTTTAGAAAGAAATCGCTGTTCCAAAAAAAAAAATTCTTATGCGTGTACATACAGCGGGAGACTTATGTGTGACGTCATTTAGGGTGTCGGTCTGCCTTTTTAGCACGATGTATGAAAATGGGTCGGGGAAGATGTTAAGCACTCCTAAAAACTAACAAGACATTACAAAACTACCACCAGTGTGAGAACTCATTTAATGCAGGCACTTTGATGGTTATTCCAGAAGCTTCGAACTCCCTATGACTGTGCAATAGCCAATGGCCACTATGAGCTAGCTGGCATTTTGGATGGGAGTGTGCCAGCAGCCAAGGCTAAGGAATATTTCATAGAGAGTTGTAGACAAAAATATGGTGTGAGTAATAGATGATATTGTCTTTTATATATATATATATATATATATATATATATATATATATATATATATATATATATATATATATATATATATGTATGTATATATATATATATATATATATATATATATATATATATATATATATATATATATATATATATATATATATATATATAATACATATAAAAGCTGTAAATATATACATTATGAAGCTTAAAGATATTATATTGTGTATATCAAATATGCAAAATATTTATCTTAATATCGTATAATGTTTTTCATTTTAGGGCTACTATATTTTTACAAAGATTTATGAAATAGAATTTTATTCTGATATTTAGCCATACATCATTGAAGCCATCTTGAACAACGATAAAACAAAATTGAAAGAGTATCTCGACCTAGGTGGTGACCCTAATGTACTAAATCAAGTAAGTTTCACCAATCACTTTTAGATATATGTAGTAGAATATATGTAGTAGAAATGTACTAGAGCATGTGAAACTTTACTATTTATAGTAGGCCCAAATTATATTTCACAAAAACGTTGAACACAACCTTTGGTGACAATTATAATGCATGTTGTAATAATTAAATAACTCCAATGGCATAGGCAAAATTTTGTCATGGGAGAAATGTGGGTTCTACCTCTCCTAACACCCATAACACCACTCTCACACTATATTACTCAATATATTAAAATAAATATTGTAATCATTTTATAAATTACTAACTAAAATTAATGTTGTAATAATTGCATAGGTCATTAACTAAAATGAATGTTGTAATAATTAACAAATTAAATATTGTAATGACTATATAGCTATATATATATATATAGCTCATTAACTAAAATAAATGTTGTAAATTACAATGTAATAATTATATAGCTCATTAACTAAAAGAATGTTGTGAAAATTATATAGCTCGTTAAATTAAATGAATGTTGTACAAGTAATATAGCTCATTAATAGAATGAATATTATATAATTTATGGCTCATCAACTAAAATGAACATTGTAATAATTGTATAACTCATTAACTAAATTGAATATTGTCATAATTAAACAGCTCATTAACTAAAATAAATGTTATAATAACTATAAATCTCATTAACTAAAGTCAACATTTTCTGTGTTCCCAGCACGGCGCTGGAGCCATACACTACACAGTTACACACTGTAAACTACCTGTGTATGACACGCTGCAAACCTTGCTGCAGTCAGGTGCTAATGCCAATCTCAGAGATGAGGTAAATCTTTGTCTGTAACCTATTTACACAGTTCAGATAGTTATTTTAAAAAAAACTTTAAAGAAAGATATTTGTACTTCACTGTTTTTTTAAGTAATTTTAGAATTCATCTCACTAATTTATTAAAATTGTCCATGTATAACAAGACCTATTTTAAAATCTCAAATTACATTGTTACAAATTTTAATCCTTTTCTAAATAACATTGAACAGTTAAAGCAAGCAAAAACGTGCACAACAGTAAATATAAAGTAAAAAGTAAAAGAATATAGTTTGTTCAAAAGGTTTAAACAAAATCACTTAATGGAATATTGTGTTTGTCTTTACTTCATTTCACAAGTGACTTTAATTTCACATTTCTGTATATTGCATTTTTTTTTGTTTGCAGGAAGGAGATACAGCTTTAAATCTAGTCATTAAAAAACAAAACCTTAGAGAAAATGGACAAATGGTAAAATGTGTCCAGCTATTGGTTGACAATGGAGCAGAGTCCAATTTTACAGATTTAGTAAGTTAGACTGTAATGGTCAGACAGCTTAAACTTTTTATAAAGATTCATTTTAAATGTGCTGACTAGTAAGTGATAACATCACACATGTATTTCAGTTTCAGACCATATTCATTTGTAAATTTAAGACCTAATTACTTTAATTACAGTGATGAAAAACATTGTCTTATAACAATTGGCTTCCCTTTAAAAACTCCATAAACTATCCCTTATTTGCAATAGGATTCATGATTAAAAACTTCTGGAGCCCAGTACAGCTAATTGGAAATTTATATCACTTTTAGTTTTTCCTTTCCAGCAAGAGTAATGCTTACTTAGATTTCATTCTAGGTGGATGATTTTTTTCAAAATTTATCATAACCTTTTATAGATAATTAATTATTATGATGGCTTTAACCTCTGTACAATATGTTTAAAAATGAGTGGATGATTTGTTTTGAAGTTGAAGTTCATCAGATGTTTATTGTTGAACTTATTGAGACGGCCTTGCAACTTTCTTTACTTTGCAGTTTTTTTCTAATTGAAATTCCTTTCCCACTTCAGTGTTACTGTCAAATTACGTAACAAGTGAATCAATTTTAAATTATGCAGTGTTATTTCTAAAATCTGCAGGACGGCAACGATGCAATAAAACTAGCAGAAACAAAGGGATATAATGATGTGTTAGCAGTCTTAAGGAAAAAGGTAATCAAACTTTTCTGATTCTTTATTCTTAAAATTTCTCTCGCTAGGACTGACAATGAAACCAGATGTGTTCTGTTAAGTGCTAGAATAAAGTGTACTGTGCAAGCAACTTCTCTGTTTTGTATTAAACTTCTGCCTAGCAAAGGTTCAGTGCATATCCATACAAAGAGATTTATCAGTTATTGTTATAACTTTAGAAAATATGTTGTATTATATTACACAATTAAAAAGTATACATTATTGATATTCTCTGTTAATGAAAAATGTATAATATAGGTAATGATGACACTACAACATTTAGATAATTTTAGTTGTTTTTTAGCAAATAATAAGATGAGTATTCCTGATTTGCAAATTTCCATCTGGCGACTTTAAATAATCACTGACTAAAACAAGAATGAATTTTTTATTACCAGAGGAAAAAACCTCCACTTAACAAAGATACAAAGAAAAATGTTGTATTTAAGGAAGTAGAGAAAGAAAATAATGAAGTGTCTATTTTAGAACATGTAAGTTGGGCTTTTGAGGCTTAATCTGGCAGAAAGATTATAAATTCTTTTTTAAAAAATATTGTTTGTATTTCATTAAAAAATGATGTCTTAAAAATTTAATAATAATTAAATTTAAAATTTAGAAAATAGTTGATTGTTTACTTACATTTTTAAAATTAAATTATTTATCATTATAAGTTAACTGATCTTTCTGTCTAAGTGCCTCATGTAAGAGCTCATACCAAACTTTATTTGAAACATAGGTGTAGCATTAACATTTTGCATACATTTTATGGACTTTATAAGATAGAGAACTAAAAATTCTCAATTAAGCATACGTTGTGCTAACAGTTATTTCCAAATCTAATTTTTTAATACTATTAGATCACAATAGTAATAGAATAAAGTTTACTATAGATCTAATTTTAATTTACTACTAACATTTTTAGAATCACCAAATTCTATTATTACAGTTTTAGATTAGTTTTCACTTACTTTTATATTTTCATTTATGCTAACTTTTTAAAGCGATATAGGCCTATATCTACATTTATTTATACACATATTTTTTTATTTATTTGTAATGCATAGACATTTTTTTCCAAGAAATTTGTTATTAAATTATAAATTATCATAAAAATCTTCCACAGGAAAATAAATAAATAAATGAATTAAAATAAAACTAAAATATAAATAATATTGTCAATCTTCTGCAGTTTAACAGTACATTATAAAAGACTGCTCATCTGATCTACATCACCCAAAGCTATATAAAGTCATTGTTTTTTTTATACTCACTGTGTTTTAAAATACAAATAAATAGGTGAAACCAAAAACACCAGAGCCATCTCCAGATGTAACAATAGATCTTTCACCAATTCCTGAAGAAGAAGAGGTATTAGAGTGAATATTAACGTGCTTGCAGTGATTTTGATGATTTATCTAAATCATTATTAGCTGTAGGAATAAAATAAAAAGTAGATGGACACTAATACTAGCAAGTAGATTCGCCAACTGAAAGTACCTTTTGGTTTTAATCTCTCCAAAAAACAAGATCTAACAGATTACATTTTCTTAGTATGTGGTGTACATTTCATAAATAATTAACAGATTGTTAATGAAATTTTTTTATTCATTTTGACTAGTTTTTATTTTACTATCTTCTTAAAGTGTTTAATAGCTTGGTTATTTCTTTTTAATATGATAAAACCTCGCAATGATTTTCTTATTTAAAACTCATGTACATTTGATTTAGGCTATAATCTCAAAACCAATCTAACATTGTTCAAATCAAATATAACAAAAAAATGACTGACAATGTATAGTCTTTATCATGTAATATTTTTCTTCATTTTATTGTGTTTCAATAATGCATTTGTGCGTGCAGTATTATCCTGAACCGAAAATGTTTTATATACTATCTTAATGTATTCATTTTTTATTGGTTCTTGAAAGAGAATATGTCAGAAACATTATTTAAAGTGCTTGTTCAACAAAAAGTAAACAGTCTTTTAAATACCATATTAAAATGTACATATTGTTATCATAAAAGAATTTCTTTTCTTTATAGTTGAAATTCTTTCAAGCTACTTTTTGAATGCTACAATGTTTTTTTTTTTTTTTTTGCTTTACATTTTCCATATTATATACAAAATTATCAATCTCTTAGAGGCCAGCCACCAACAAGCCAGTAGAAACACCAGTTACTGTGAGTTTTTTTAAGATCATTTTCTTATTCAATCTTTGGTAACCAAACATTTGTTTTCACATATTCATTTCATTATTTATCACTTATATAACATTGAAAATGTAATGTATAAACCTAAGATATTAATAATATTACTGATGCATTAAAATGATTATTCACATACTTTGTCAAATGACTGATATTGTCTCAGTTAATCTTAAAAAACTGTTTTAAAAAATCTTATAACTATTCATCTAGAGGCCAGTTACAAGTGAACCTGTTACTGCACCAAATACAGTATGTTTTTTTTATATATTATATAATTTTTTAAATTTTACCTTTTTCAAGTTTTCAGAAAGCTGTTGTTGTTTTTTTAATTTAAAAAACCGTTATGTTAATTTACTATGTTATGTAAACCTATCATCTTATTCACCAAATTCAAATTAATCAGTTTTGTGTATTGTATGTTTACTTTAGGACTTAAGCCCTATCCATATTGCTACATTGATAGAAAATGAAACTGAAAGGAATGAAAAGTTAAAAACTTTGCTTCATGAAGGAGCTGAAGTTAGTAAACAAATCCAGTCGGTGAGAAAATTTCCTTTGATAATGTTACTAACATAATAAATCTGAAGTTAATTGGGTGGAGAGTTCTGTATAAAGGAGACCATACTAAATTAACCTGTAAGCTGTAGCATACAAAATAATCCTTTTAAAATTTTTTTTAAAAAGGACACTTACTTTGTTTACAAGTTTATCAAAAAAATCATGATAAGATGAAAATTTTTGAAATTTTTGTTTATATTTTCATCAACAAATAATTTTTTTTCCAGACTGGCAACACAGCCTTACATTTATGTGCTGAAAAAAATTATGGAACCACAGCTAAATTGTTGCTGGACAACAATATTGACTACACTCTTAAAAACACAAAAGGTGTGTTCTTTCACAATGATAATAATTGGTTTCTATGTTTTAAAAGTAAAGTTTGCTTTTTGAACCTTACGGTTCATGGGGCAAATAAAGTAGAGTTCACCTGTTTCTGTGACCTTATCACGGAATAGTGTGGTCAGCACTATGCCCACTACTTTCCCTAACGTGTGTTAGGTACCCACCAGAGTTGGGTGGAATCAAGGACTTAAACCCGGATTAGAACTCTAGACTTTTGGGTTAGCAGTCTAGGGCTCTACTATCCCATTCTATGTCTAATTATGAAATATTTTTATTTTTGTCATCGACATTTTTAAAATTATTTTTATATTCAGTGTTTGAATTGTTGATATGCCTACAAAAAATTGGTGTTTTTTTTTCAATTCGTGAACTGGCAATTAAAAATTTGACTTAACCCAACTATTTAAAAAATTAAGTATAATACCTAGTGCCTGTCTTACAGAACTATTCAATAATTACCAGCTCATCTTTGATTGCCAATTGGCTGGTATAACATAAAAACAGCATTTAATTCTCCATACATTATAAAATGTTGATTTTCTAACTGTAGTACTAAAGTAATTATAGTAAATTACCTTTAGAACTGGAATCTTTGTTTTATTCTGACATATTTAACACTTTGTGCTTTCAGTTAACATGATGCTGTGCTAGTTTAAACATTTGGTTTTTTTTTAAATTGAGACCACCACAGTGTTTGACAGTACAATGGCTAATTGACTTCACTTTGGTACAAACAGGTCAAACAGCCTATGAACTAGCCAAGGAATTGAACAGTCTTACAGTAGTCAAGGCAATAGAGGAAAAGCAAAGCAAACAGCAGCCTTCAGGGAAGAAAGCTAAATCTTGTGTTATATTGTAGGATGATATTTATGAATTGTGATGGATTTTCAGTAAAAAATTTGATGTGATGTGTAGGATTTTAAGTAATTTATTTCCCATTGTGCTAAAAATTGTATAAATTTTGATGTGATATGTAGGATTTAAGTAATTTATTTCCCATTGTGCTAAAAAAATACCTTGATGTAGAGGGATGATTTTATTGCCCTGTGTTACAGTTTTAGTCCTGTCTTTATTTTATTTGTGAGACAGTGTTCATTTTGCACAATAGATTTTCTTGTTGGTTGATGTTTTCAATAATATGTACCTGTATTTTATTTGATGCTTTTTTTAAAAAATAAAAAATTAAAAAATGCACTCATTAAAATAAAAAGCATTGCCTATTTATTTTTTAATTAAAAAAAGTAAAGAACCCTTTTGTGCTATATGGGGCAGGTGAAGTAGAGTTTACCAATTTCAGTGACCTTAGCATATGAAGAGATAGTGTGGTCAGCACTATGCCCATCACATATAGTGGTAACCCATTTCTTGAAATTCTAGGAAGTTATTGACTGCCTTCTCATCTATCAACTTATATTCGTATGTTGCTGCCTTTTGTCATATCCTCCCATTGTCCTTGTCCTCAATTAGTCCTTGTTTTATATTTGTCCATGTCATCCTTTAGTCCTTGTTTTATATTTGTCCATCATCCTTTTGTCCTTGTTTTATGTTTGTCCATATCATCCATTGGTCCTTGTATTATGTTTGTCCATGAAATTCTTTTAGATGTTAGCCTATTTTCCTACGCCTGGGTTCCTTCTTTTCTTTAATGAATGTATGTGGAGGAGGTTCATCAGCATAGTATATATGATTCATGTAATAAACAGAAATTGATGCTTTAATAGCAAAATTTGAACAGTTCAAAAAAATACACAACCCAATATGTAAATAGTGCAATAAAAAATAATTTAATCTTAAAACAGAAAAAAAATTCATTATTTACAGGTTTATTTCACGACAAAAAACAAATTAGGAAACATTTGTTGCAGACTGAGTAGTGTTTAGTGTATCTACATAGTAAATCATACTGAGATTTAAGTAGAGTTGGTGTTTGTTTGTTATAAAAACACATGAAAGAAAAAAGTTCAAGTAACCATAGATTGGGTTGTATTGAAAACTTTTTTAACTTGTAATAAAACAAAATTAAATAAAAGTGATATTGTATAAAACTAATGCTGATTTACCACAAATGTACAGGAATGCCGTACAGTATTTATTTCTTAAAGTTTTGAATCACAGTTTTTAAATGTTCACAACAATTTTGACTGATAGCACTACCCAAAGTTAGATAACTCTCACCATTTATACATTGTGTTAGGTGTGAAGTGAGCATCAGTGTTACCAGAGATCTGAGCACACTTAACTAAGACAGTGCATACAAGTAAAAAAAAGCAACTATGGAATGTGAGATACAATTTGAAAATGAAATCAATGCAAATGAGTTAGCTAAAATATTATGAATACATCCACACAGTGCTGATGAATGTTATTTTATCCATTATGAACTTACACAAATTTTAAACAATACAGTAAGGAATTTAGAAGCCACAATAAAAACCCAATCTAAAAATTGAGCTGTTAACATTAAACTATTGGCTCCACATTTTTAATATAAAATGTGTGCTGGGCTTCTATTTTCTACAACCCTCGAAAATAACAGGTAAAGCAAATTAAAACAAAGAAAAGCATTTTACAAACTATCATTGTTGAATGAAAAACTATGTTTCTGTTATGTAAATTGTATTACATTTAGTAAAGTTTCTTAATGAAAATACAAAAACTCTGTGAAAACCATTTTAAAAATACCTCTTTAACTCATGTAAGAGGTATTGGACTGATAAAGAAAAAAATGTAAATATTAAAAATGAAAATATTAAATGACCAGATACAAAAAGCTTGCTTATTGAAAGCTTTTGTTAAGCGTTGAAAATTTGATGTGAATTAAAAAATCTTTGTAAAAATAAATTTAATCAACAGCTAAAGATCTTATCTAACTTGCTTCAACTGTAACTTATAGTGACAAACTTCTTTTAAGCCTGCTACACAGTGAATTGTCCTTGAAGTGCTAATTTTTATAACTAAAAAAAATCTTAGCAGTAGTTGCATCAAAATAGATTGTTCAACAATTTTGCTTAATATTAATTTTTAGTTAACATAATAGTTCCTAAAGTTCAAAACAGTTTGGTAGTGTTCATCAAAATCGCCATTTTACTTTCAACATATAAAAAACACTAGCTCAATAGGGTTAAATAAAATTTATTTATATACAAGATTATGAATTTTTAAAAAACTTGTGACTTGCGTTCCAGTAACATTCTTCATCATTATTAAGGCTTGAAAAGTTCAAGGCTGTATTAGTTACACCAGGAAAGAGATCAGAAGTAACCTCAACTTTTTTAAATAGTAGAGAAAACAGGAAACAGCTGACTGGCATGCACTTTAAATAAAATACTTTAATTCTTCAAATCAGGACCTTCTACTGTAAATAAAGAACTTAATTTTAAACATGAACCTTTTATTTTTTAATACAAGCCTTTTAATTTTTAAGACGAACCTTTTAATTTTTAATATGGACCTTTTCATTTTAACTTATGGATCTATTATTTTTAAATATAGACAACTTAAAAATTTATGTTCAGCAAAAAATTCTAGACATGGTTTAATAGCAAATTACAAAGTATGTGTTGCATGCAACTATTGCAGTTAATTCTACTGATATTTTAGTTAATTCTTTAAAAGCAACTGAATTATTTATTTTCATATTTTTATGCACTATTAAATGAAAATATATTCACAACATTTTCTAATTTTTATACATTACATGTTAGATTTAAACCGTACCTGATTTTGTAATATGCACAATCACATGTCAAAAGTAGAAAAAAAAACATGCCCTGATTTTCACACATTCAGTGTACACTAACCTGTTTTAGCTCAATAACTTCTAACAGGCAATTAGTAAAGAAAATAATTTAAAATTCTGTTCATTAAAGCTTATATTACACTAATTACATCCATCACAAACTTGTCGCTAAATCAGTATCACTCTCTTGTTTTAAGTTAGTCTCAAAGGATCAATGAGGAACATCCAAAAAGGTTATGAGACACTGATCTAAATGATAATATATCAACCACTAGTCTAGTTTATGACTAACTTACCATAAGCTACAAGACATAAAAAACAACCCATCTAATCTAGTGTTAATATTAGGTATTGTTGCCTCAGTTGACCCTCAATAAATGCTGATGTCTTCAGAGAGATGAGAGATACAGACATATTTATTGTTCAGCCATGGTCATAGTGGGATATTGGTTCTATTATGACAGAAATGGTCAGTTCGGTTTAAATTTATGGCAGATGAAAATTGTAAAAATATAAAATTCTTCATTTTAAAGGAAGGTGCTTCTATGTCAGTCTGACCTACCAACCTATGAAGAAGGAAAAAAATACTGTTGTGCTTATCAAACTAGCATGATGATTCAAGTGTAATGGTTGTTTAGTTCAACAATATAATAGTGGGTGGTCATGCCCTGCACATGAAGATGGTTACAGATGGTACAAATGTTACGCCAGTTGTTTTTTATTGAAAGAAAATGCTAGTTTTAAACATAGGTTATTATAGGTAAAATTGTATTAAAAACTCATTGAAAATGTGATACAAATATCAAAGTACTAAAATTTTGTGAATAAAACAATGACATGAAAGTTTTTAAAAACTACAAATTCAGAAGCTATTTTTAACTTCTTCAGAAAAATTCCCTACGTTTATTTTTAATTCGACTCAATACTTTTTAATTGCATGTTAAGTCCTACACAGAAATCTCCTACTTTAACTCTGTTAAGGTTAAACCTTGACGACGCCTAGAATCCTGCCAACCTGTGAGACCAGCTGCTTCCATAGTTTCTCTACCACCCTGACAAACCTGTTAGGGTTAAACCTTGACGACGTCTAGAATCCTGCCAACCTGGGAGACCAGCTGCTTCCATAGCTTCTCTACCACCCTGACAAACCTGTTAGGGTTAAACTTTGACGACATCAAGAATCCTGCCAACCTGTGAGACCAGCTGCTTCCATAGCTTCTCTACCACCCTGACAAACCTGTTAGGGTTAAACTTTGACAACATCAAGAATCCTGCCAACCTGTGAGACCAAATGCTTACATAGCTTCTCTACCACCCTGACAAACCTGTAAGGGTTAAACCTTGACGACATCAAGAATCCTGCCAACCTGTGAGACCAAATGCTTACATAGCTTCTCTACCACCCTGACAAACCTGTTAGGGTTAAACCTTGACGACGTCTAGAATCCTGCCAACCTGTGAGACCAGCTGCTTCCATAGCTTCTCTACCACCCTGACAAACCTGTCCCTCTCCTTCATGCTCTGGACGTACAACTTATAACTGATCTCTGGGTTAGGGTTCAGGCGCCCTTTGGTCGAGGGGCTAAAGTGCTCTATGGACACGTCCACCACAATGTCCTCCACTTCATCTGAGAAGGTCAGCAGGATTACGTGCTGATTACCGTGGTAGAGGGTGACCCTTTTCAGGCAGTCGATCCGCCGGCAGTCCACAATTTCATGGCAGGGGTTCTCTGGTAAACCTCGTACAAAATCTGGCAGGGGGTACGTCACAATGTCTTCCACTGCCAGACAAAAATGGGACTGGGTGACTATAACACTCCTAGGCTGGGATTTCTCTAAAGATTTTTCATCCAGTGCAAGCTGGTAGCATTGTATGTAGAACCACAGTGAAGGAGCGACGGATGACGGGACAGTCTTGGACCCCCGGAAAACTTTCTCCTTGACTAAATACAAAATATCCCTGACTGCGTCCTCACCGGGGTAAACAAAACTGACTTTACTGGGGTGGGTGAAGACAATCCCCTCCGTGGTGGATTTCACACGCTGGGAGGAGTCTTGATAGAAGTCCTGCTCCATCTCGGCTTTAGTTTTCTCTATCATAGGAGAAGGGACGCGGAGGGATAAAATGTGTTTTAACTTCTGCACAAACACATCCGTGCTGGTGCTGTCCCTTGTTGCTAGGGTAAACACAGAGTTCTCGTTACTTCCTGTCAGACGCACACACTGGTCAAACAGACCTACATTGACTTGTTGTAGATCATTGTACGCCAGGCTGAAATAAGCACTGACTAATTTGTTACCCCCAGAGCTGTCACTGGCCTCAGTTTTCCACGTTATGGCCGAGTCCGACTGGTTGCGCGAGTGAGTCATCCACGACGGTCTGGATTTGCCGGCAAGTTGGGGACTGGAGTCCGAGACCAGGTAGATGCTGTGTGTGCTGAGCATGACCAAGGTGACAATCTCATGCTTGGGGTTGGTGTACGGCACCACGCCGGTCCACACCACGTGGTGGAGCTCCTCTCTCAGAAGGTCCTGGAACTCCGGCATCGTCTTGGAGATCACCGTGTGGAAAAACTTCTTCAGCTCCCTGCCGTTCATCAGGCACAGGGGCTTCAGCTTGGTGGGCAGGGGGTGGATGAGGTCGTACGACTTGACGCACTGCTTCAGGTACAGCTCGTGGTCAGTTTCCACAGCCTGGCTGGAGGGGTCAAACTCTGAGCTGGACTCGATGTCCTCCAGCACCCCAGGGATCTGGATCTGGAGGTTCATCCGGTTATTTTTTTTATCCGAGCTCCCAGACTGGTAGCCTGTGTCAGTGGATGTGACCGGAGGCCTGAAGTAGTAACGTTTCCAGTCAAAACTTGACGGTAGCGAGTCTGCCTTGGCCGCAGAGCTGCGTTGAATGTTTTCTATATCTGCCGTCACATTCGAGTACACCCCTACTTTTTTAATACTGTCTTGATGACCAACAGGAGGGCTGATGCTGGCTCTAGAGAAGTTGGACATTGGGGAAACTGACAGGTCATCTTTAGGGGAAGCCGAGTGGTACATGTTAGCACAAGGGGGTGAATGACCGTAGATATCGCTCTCAGTTAAAGAGATGATCCCATAAGATTTATCCGACTTCACCGACCCACTCAACATGTCCTTATATAACCCACTCACATTCCTCGTATCAATGGCCTGAGATCTACCCTGGACAATAGCCACTGTCTGGGATTGTTGCGGAGTTCTTGACAATGCTGGTTGTTGCTGTACAGATTTCTGTGAGGTGTTCCACTGTTTTCCCCCGCTGTCAGGTGTAGTCACCTGCTCGTTCCCACCCTCAGGCTCCTCCCTGTGGGTGGGTGACATCCTATGAGCCTGCTCTGCTCTCAGGTTGGTCAGCCTGTCCAGGAACAAATCCCTGTAGGCCGCGGATGAAAACAGGTAACTGACACAGGTAGGGGGCGCCTCTATCACAGACGTGTCACAGTGTGCAAACGTGGGGTTACCACCCGGCTCTAGGCTAGTCAGGGAAACCTCCAATGTCAGTCCATATTGCACGAATTCCACAGCCGCTCCATCTACACACTGGTGAAAACTGTCTTGGTGGGGATGAATCTTAATATCACTAATCCTATCAGTTATAGAGTACTCATGTACAATATTAAATCTAATTGAATCTTCAGGCTTCGTCTCAAAAGACGGCGGAGGCCAGTGAATAAAACTTGTATCCAGGCAGTAAACCGAATTCTCCGACAAAACCAGAAAGTTAAACCCGTCGTTTCCTTTCAGTCGTACCAGAATGGCCACCACCAGCCGATCCGAGGCCATGCCAGGCGTTTTTTCCTCTTCCTTGGCCACAATCTGGCCCAAGAGATCAGACTGCTCAGCCAGGTTGAGGCAGTCGGGGATGTTGTTGACATCCAGAAGGTTACAGGCTTCAAGCAGCCTGCTGGTGAACCTCCTGACCCCCTGGGGCTCCACCCCAAACAGGGTGACCGTGCCACTACTCCCAACAAAAGCTTCTTCTAAACGGACAAACGCATGGCACTGCCCTATCACCAGCTGCTGAATGTTCCCCATGGGAATAATACTAAACGGTTCCAGCTCAGGAACTCCGGGGAAGTTGGACTCCAGTTCGATCATTTTCTCGATGAAAATTTTAGTTTTGGTCAGCACCACACAGCACGGATGCAGCAGTCCAGGCTGGGACAGCTGCTCAGCGTAGCACCAAAATATATCCAAAATGGCTTCTTTTCTTCCTATGTTCGTGTGAAAACTTTCTTCGGGGCTCAGGACTGGTGTGACATCTCCAGTGGTCAGCAACTGTTCATTCAGCCAAAGGACAAAGCCAGGATCTTTTAACGTGGGCAGATCAGCTACACTGTACATGACTGTCAGTTTCCTGAAAACAGAATGTAATTAAATTAGTATGTTGCAGTTAACAGCCAGCAATTTTTCACCTATTTTCATCTTTAAGTTACAGATTAAATTTATATATATTAAGCTTCTAAAATTATTTTTATCTTTTGTACCTCATAAAATTAAAACTCATAAAATTAAAATAAAAACATTATATTTAAAAAGAACGAAGCAATACAGCAAATAAAATTGTTAATAATTTTTAAAAGAAATTTTAAATAAAAAGTTTGGCAATCTTTAAAATACAATAAGTAAATCAATACACTTAAAGACTATGAAAAGTGTCATTTTATTATCCTGTTTTCATATTGAGGAGACAGAAAAGTGCATCTGCAAATGTAAAAGATTTAACTGAATTTTTAAAAACTATATTTCTGTAAAAACTATAAATAAATAGTAGTAACTATAAATAAGGTAAATATATGGTCATACAAAAAGCCACAATACATATTTGGATATAGCTTAAGAAGCCTTTGATAAGACATGCAAGGGGATTAACTTATGGTTGATGTTTTAATGTGATACTTAAGTAAAACAATGGAGCTTGCTGCATGCTAGGGTTAATGTTATACCTGAGTAGACCATGGCAGTTATAACATGCCAGAGTTAACATTATACCTGAGTAGACAATGGAACTTGCTGAATGGATTAATGTTATAAGTTATACCTTAGTAAACTATGCCAGTTACAACATGTCAGGGTTAATGTTATACTTTGGTAAAAATAAAACGTGCAGCATGTTATATTTTAGTAACACTGTGTGAGTTATAAAATGATAGTGTTTTAGCATTATATAATTTAGAGAAACTATGGTAAACGCCATCGTTTAGTAGAGTCAAGCTAGTTAAGGCTATATTGTTTAGCAAAACCAGGGAGGTTACAAAATACCAGGGAAATGCCATCAAATGACATTAAACCAGTCTTATTATTAACAGAAGATGTTACTTTACAGACACAGGAAAAACAAAAAACTTTGACTGCAAGAAATGAAACAAACCAAACCAGGAGGCGGCCACATCCAACAAGAAGCTACACAGCAATCTGCATGCTCAAAAGGAATGGAACAAGTAGGCCAGTAATACCTTTTTAATAACACACCTCTTATCCGAGGGTTCCGAGTGCCCACCCTGCGATGAGGTCACAAAAGCTGGAGATGACCCTGACTGCTTGAGAGGTGAGTTGGCGGATATTTTAGGCGATGCTAGTGGACTCTGACCCCAAACAGGCGGGGTCGATGCTAACGAAGAGGTTTTACGCGGAGACCTGGCGTTGTCTATACTCCTTGAAGTAATGTACTGGTGGGATGATGAAAGAACCGAGGCAGGGTTTTCTATCGTCAGATCAAACGGGTGCGCCTCGGGCACGAGTTCATGGGGGTAGGAGCATGCTTCGTCGTTGCTGTTGTTGGTGTTGAGGTTATTGCTGTCTCCGGGCTTTGGCTGGGTGTTTAGTTCTGATGCAGCTGCAGCGAACTCAAAAGGGTGGGCTTCTGAGACCAGCTCCCCATCACTTTCTTGTACAACACATGATGAGACTGACTCCTGGGGGGACAAAAGAAAATACCGTAACTATCTGTAAAGCAATAATGGTGTAGAGGAGAAATGGAGTATTCCATTACTAAGTGTCAAATATTTAGTTGGAGCATCAATTGAGGCAGGGAGATAACAAGCAGTTCAGAGGATTATATATAGTGCAAGTAACACTATACTTATAAGTAGAGGTTACAAATTGTTTTTTTAATAAAGACATTTATAATAACAAATAATATATAGTGCTAGTAACACTATACTTATAAGTAGAGGTTACAATTAATTTTTTAAATAAAGACATTTATAATAACAAATGTATACATGCTCTACAAAAAGAAGAAAATAATTTTCTTCAATGTATAATAATGCACCACTATTTATTTCACATAGAAGTATTTTTAAAAAATGTGAATCTATAGATTATGCATTCAATACCCTAAGCATGACAGAAAAATCAAGTTGAATAAAAGCTTATAAACAGCATCCCCTACTCTATTGAAAACTTCAGCACGGGTACTTTACTTTCATTTGTGTATTCAAGTTTTAGCTTAAGTATTAATACATACATTTTTAATTAATTCAGGAAATCTATTACAACTTTACAAAATAATGGTTATAATAAAAAAGTAAACACTGTACAGCAGGGGTCTCCAAACTTTTCAGCCAGAGGGCCGCATTAACTATCAAATATCAGTTCGGGGGCCAAAATTTCTTCCATGCATCTCTTTGGGGTTGTGGAGTCCCCCTGCACACCCCCCCCCCCCCCCAACGAAATATAATTTATATAGAAATATATACATATTTAAAATACCCCCCCCCAGGAGAAAAGGCCTGAAAGAAACTCTGTCGGGTCCGACAACACACTCGAGGTCCAAGTTTGTTCTCCTTGAGCAAACGCAAAAACCCACCCGCCATTTTTTTAACTTGTCTCTAAGGAGGTCATTTGCTTGCAATTCAATGACCTCAAACTGCAGTTTATCTGGGCAACTGGTTACATTTTCTTCAATTGGGGTTTGAAACAGTCTAACTTCTTCTGCCTTTGAATCCTAGTCAGAAAACCGCTACTGAAAGTGCAGCGGGAGGTCTTTGATGATCTCGCATGCAAATGATGTGGGGAACACAGCTGTTGCTTCAGCCATGAAGACCTTGCACTGCTGAAAGTGCGTCAAGTTGTTGCCCTGTACTTGTTCCAAAAACATGGAACAACTGTCCAGTGACTCATCCATTGCAACTGAAAAATTGCGAAACTTGCTTGCAGTTTTCACTATTTGAGTCACAATGTTTTCATCAATGTCTGCAACATGGAGGACAATGGTATTTGCACCCGAAGCTTCATATTCAAATTTTAAAAAAATTTCTGGGCAAAGTTCCTCAGCCACCTCTAACAAAGATTTTTTCCATGAACAAAAAGATCTCCGCGGGCCAGATGAGAGGACCTCGCGGGCAGTAGTTTGGAGACCCCTGCTGTACAGGATTAACATGTCTTAAAATGTTTATTGTACCATAGCCAGAAGCAATATTTAAAAAACCCTACCTGACTGTAAGGACTAGTGCTGCGATTTGAGGAGTTATCTTTCTTAGGCCATTCAGACACAGAAGGAACTGACCTACTTATTAAGCCTGTACAACAAATACAACAAATAGTTGAAGAATTTAACTTGTGCCTAATGGTAAACATCTATAAAATAAGGGGATGAAGGTTTAGACCGTCCTAATCTGAGTTATGTAACTTTAAACAATTTTTAAAAAAACTAACAACAGATGTCATTTATTTGCAGATTTGTGGTATTATAAAAACTTATCTTTTTTTTAAGAAACTTAGTAGTTCTTTTTACTTTTCAAATAAATAAATCAAAATATATAAACTAGTGGCTGATATGTTTTGTATTAATATACTTTGAACACACAAAACACCAAACATAACACTTTGTATTGATAGATTCTTCTAGTACACAAAAATCAACATTTGTTTTTCAAGTTTTATAATCTTATCATTTGTTATTCTCAAATAGTTAAGTCAAAAGGTTTATCAATAGAGAAAATAAAATAGAGTACCAGGCCCTGGGGAATCTGTTCTGCCATTTTTTCCTTCAACCTGATCTGTAATAGAATGGGTGGGTGACCCCTGGCTATACTCAGACAGACTGACAGCTGATGCATTCTGGGAGAGACATGATAGCGAATGTATATGTTGACATGCCAATAGTGTACAGTGAGTGAGTGTTCAGTGAGTGATGTAAAGATGATATGCTTACACATTTTTAATACAATTTTTACTCATAAATTTACATTCAATTATGGCTGTCAAAATATATATAAGAGTAACAAATCTCAAATTATATTGAGTTATTAAAAACATTAGTATGAGTGTATACAATATGCATAAAAATTATTAAATAAATATAAAAAGGTAACTACCTTCTTTGGTTTTTTAATCACTTTAATATCTTTGGCTTTCCTCAATGCCTGCAGGACTGCAACTGTGTCCAGCTCTTTTTGGTCAGTTGGCTGGTTATCCAGTGTAATCTAATTAAATGAAATAAACAATGGAAACTGCATTATGTTTACAAGTTCAAAAACTGTAACAGACATAAATATCAATGAAAAATTTATGTTTGATGTGAGATTATTTTTTAAACAATTGTGATTTTTATTTTTCATGCATGTAGCAGTCTCATGAAAACCACAGTCAAGTCCAAATCTAAATTTTACATGCAACTTAATTTTCCAGTTAACGACAGGTTTAATGAAGATATTAGACCAACAGCAAGTATCAGAAAATGAATGAATGCATCACAAACAGGGTACGGTTACCTCACGAACTCTGTCTCCGAACATCTCCAAAGTTTTGGTTCTGTAGTCCAATGTGTTGGTCACAGCATTACCCACCAGCAGGATGTTCTCTACACAAGGCAGCTGGCTGATGTACCTCAGCTCTTCTATCTGTCACAAACAACATTCATAGTAAGATGTTTCTCTATCTGTCACACAAATCATTCATAGTTTAATCTTTCTCTATCTGTCACACAAATCATTCACAGTTAAATCTTTCTCTCTGTCACAGAAATCATACATAGATCTTTCTCTATCTGTCACAAAAATCATTCATAGTTTAATCTTTCTCTATCTGTCATAGTTAGATCTTCTATATGTCACACAAATTACTCATAGTTAGCTCTACTATTCATTGTGTCAAAAATTAGTCTTATAATTAATTATACTTTTAATTTGTGTATAAAATTCAAACGCATGTGACTACTTACTGCTGATATTTTGTTATGAGAAACATCCAACTTTTCAAGTGAGAAAAGTTTGGCAAAACCTGCAACAAAAGTTTTATAAAAACATGGAGAATTTTGAAAGTTAAACTAACAATAATGGCTGGGCAATAGTAATATTCTAGAGTTTGGATCTTGGACCGTATGTAGGATGTCAGTGAGTCCACCCAGCTCTGATAGGTACCTGACACTGGGCATAGTGCGAAGATTACTATTGGTTCATATATAAGGCCACAAAAACAGATGTACTTAACTCCATCTGCCCAATTGATCAGGTCTGTAAAAGTACCTTAACAATTTTTTACATCATTATCATAGCCCAGTGTTCCCAGCAGAAAAATGTGATCAAATTTTGTGCTATACACAGGGCCCCAAAAATCCAAGAAAATATATTAAAATGTTAATATGCAAGTATAGAGATGGGACAGCATGGTTGAGTGGTAAAGCTCATGAACGCAAACCCAAAAGTCTAGAATTTGCATCCCAGACTTGCGTTCACAGAATGTCTCAGAGTTCATCAAGCTCTGATGGGTACATGATTCACATCAGGGAAAGTAAAGGTTGCTGTGTACAGTGTTTCTTCCAGACTTTTTCTCTGGGGGGGGAGGGGGGGGCCTCAGCTGGAAGAAACTCTGGCTGGGTATGGTGCTGACCCTTTAAATCTACTTGATATGCCTGGTGTGTTGGGCTCAAACGGAAACAATGATGAAGCACATAACCCAAAATTACAAGAAACTTAAACAAAAATGTTACCATGCAAGCTCTCCAGCCTATTGTGGGCCAGCTTGACAATTTTGACATTGCCCATCTTTGTGTGCAGGGAGTCTACATGTCTGATGTTGTTGTGACTCAGGTCCAGGTATGTGAGCTGACTCAGCCACTGCAGGTTCTGAATGCTCTCAATAGCATTGTGACTGAGGTTGAGCTTTTCAACATTCGGCATCAGTTGCTAAGGTTTTTTTAAAAAAATGTAATTTAGAATAAACAAACAGTTTTATTCACTAAAACCAATACATTTTAAGCTAACCAATAAGTAGCCATGGGGATTAAGGAAGCATAATATGGAATATATTTGGGAAAATATTTTAATGCTTTATAAAAGAACCATGGTTACAGGGCAATAAACCACAACCAAACAATTTAAAAACACATAAGTAAAGAGCTCTTTGTCTAAGAAAAACAGTATTTATTAAATTAAAAAAATGAAAATTTTCATATGCTATTAAAATTAAGTAAAATATGTAAGGATCAAACTTACAACACTATCAGGAATATCAGAAAAAGAATTCTGACTGAAGTCAACTTCAATAACCAAGTCCCAATATCCCACGACTAAAGACCCATCTTCAGCCCGCCAGTGTGATGCATCTTGCAGCAAAATTTCCTATAAAAATATCAACTAATTAATAAATGGATTAGTGGCTTAGTTTAAATAATCCAAATAATTACTGTAAATTTAGAAATAAGAAGTAAAATACATGAACCAACATTTTCTAAGAGATTTTTTTTTCCAAGTGCTGTGGTTTTCACACTAAAAAAAGATATTTCTAAAAAGTTGAGAGAAAATCATCTCACCCTTATTGATGATGAGGATTCATGCACATAGAACTCCATAAGGGTTTGTTTGACTGTTTCAAGTCCATTGACCAGACGGAAGTTACAACCAGAAATCTGGACAAGTTACAAATTAAAAAAACAGTAACAATTGTTTGCTAAATTTTAGACAAATAAAAATAGTTGACCAACACTTTTTTTTTATAATTGAAGGATAATTTATAGCAATCAGTTTCATTTAAATGAATATGGTTATAAAATTTAGTGTGTTTCAATTTTTAAACAGGTAGCAAGAAATCTGAGATAAATAAAAAATTCTTTATTAGAAAAAAATTATAATTTATTACACATATAAGTATAAAAAAATATAACTGACCCCCTTAAAAAAATAGGAACTTTGTTTTCAAGAAAACAAGGTACATAGCCAAGTTCCTCAAAAATAAAGTTGTTTTTTTTAAAAAAATATTTTTTCTCTAATGGTAAAACTGATTTCCTAAATAAAAAAATTGGAGATGTTACACCTCTAGAAGGTGATAAGTAATAACATTGAAACATTTCATCAGCTACCAGAATGGATCAATAGCACCAAAACAATCACACCTTCACCAATGTAGTTCGTTAACTAACCATACAGTGTAAATTTACCTCTAAAGTTTGTAGGGATTTGAACAGAGTCAAATCAAAGGGCAGCTTGTTCATCAAGATATTGCTAGATCCCACGGGTTTTTTACTGCTCACTACCTGAACACAAATAATTAAAACGTACATTTGAATCTTTATAGACTGAAGAATACCAAATGTGAAAACAGCTCTAGGCAACTCTCTAGCTAGTTGTGATTGTGTGACTACAGTTTAGCTGAATACAAAATGATGCCTACCTTTAAGTGTTTAGCTCTGGTTATAAAGTCAAGAATGTGACCCAAATCTTTCTTCACATCACCACTGTCTGAAAGCATACGATGAGAAAATTGTGTGGTATAATCAAGAAATCTTAGTGAAATTATTTAAAATAGTAAATAAATGAAGATATAAATATATAATTAATTGACACATTAAAAAAATGTGTTAGAATTAAATTAAAAAATGCTATGTCAAACGGTTTATGATAATGACAGATTTTTGTACTGTTCAATTTTGAAATTTAAGAAAAATATTATGGTCTAGTTTGACTAACCACAAGTGGGCTCAGGTAACTTAAGCCTTTCAGTGAGGGAGTACAACTGCAGGGTGCTCACTTCATATTGTTCTTTTGTCTGCAGCAAACTTTCTCCTGGTCATTAAAAAAATACATGTCAGCAAACAAAATAATAATTTTTTTAATGCAGAGACAAAACATTATACAGTGAAAGAAAAAAAAATTAAAGTCAGTGATAGATGCAAATACAAATAATGTGGAAAATGAATAGCTACAATTGTTAACCAAGGTATAATACTTAAAATTGATTAAAATAATTAAATTTCAATAATTAATTAGAAAAAAAAAGCATGCCCCTGTTGTAGAGGTCCTCTGCCATCGACTGAGTGATGCCATGAATTTCCTGGATTAAAAAAATAATAATTGCGCATTACAACAGAATTAAACTTCTTTAAATTAACTATGAAATATTTATATTGTAGTTACCATGCAAAAATAAAATATCTTGCTAAGAATAAACATCCCTTGTTAAAATAATTAAGTGAAAGAAGCAATAGTTTAATTAAAATTATTCTGTGTGCAAGTTATGTCCATAAACAATGATCCTATATTCTAATATTAATCAATCAATAGATGTTAAGGCAACTGTGTTTTTATTGTTTTTATTTTCTACAATTCTTTTGTCCAACTTAATTAAAACCTGACAACTTTTGACCTGTATTAGCACTGACTGGGCATGTTATCACAAGAAAGTAGGTCAAGGAACACAGTGATAACATGATGACAATGCAGGTGGGGAAAATGAATTGACCTTCTTCATGAAACATAAATAATGAGCTATTTATAGAATGCTTCCTTCATTTAATTAACCTTTAGTCATGTAAATAAGACATTAATGCACTATGCTGACAAAACATCCATAACTAAACAAGAGTCTGACAAAACCTAAAAACTATAACAAACATAAAGCTTCATTACAGCATGTTTAATATTTAACAGCATCCAGTTTTAGAGGATTTTTCTTCATTTGGTTAAAAAAGTAACTCAGATAATAATACAACATTTAGAAGTTGTGTAAAACTTTGAATTTAATAAATATACAAATAAAACACTTCCCGAATTACACAATTCTCCCAGGTGTTTTTATTTCCTTAATCCTCAAATATGCAATATTATTTAGAAATTTCATACAAGCATTTATATTAACAGTAAAATAAGTGGAAGTTTTATATACTGCATGATTGGTTTTAACAGCTAAAAATACTGACTTCTTAACAATGAATTTATCATAACTAAGAAAAATGAAACTAAAAAAGTTAGTTTAATATTTTACGAAATTTTTTCAGTTGCTTTAAGAATTCTAAAATTAATTATTTTAAGTAAAAAATGTAAATGGCTTAACTTACATATTTGTCAAAATCAAGAAAATATGCCAAACAGGACGGTATATGCTGTGCCAAATAGAGTATGATAGTCTGAAGATACACCTCCAACTCTCGCTGACGCTTCTTGATGAATGCTTCTGTCTGGTTGCCAAAAATCTTTTTTGGTGGTAGTAATGTCTTGTCAAGCTTATAGCTTGCAGTTAACTGGGAAAAAAAATATATCTATCGTGTAAGCACTTCCGGGAAACTGAACACAAACTTTATTGTTAAACAAATAGCTGCTAACATACAGCCATGGATTTTTAAAACAAGCTTAAGGATTTTGATTAGCAGAAAAAGCAAATATTAAAATTTTGACACTTACTCTTTCATGCAGGTCATAGAATTCACTGTAACGATGCTTAACAGTCCATGAATAGGATCCAACAGCCACAGATATTACATAAACCTTTTTTTAAAATGAATACAAAAAAATAGGATGAAATGGATTTAAACAGTTTAGTTAAGATCAGGGCTTAGATCTTTTTTTAGGGAGCAGCGATTCAGACCCCACTATAAGTTCAGTCTATAGTCACATATTACCAGGTATTAAAATTAATACTTATTCTGGTGTTGTGACTATTCTGTTGTGGATTAGAAATTATTTTTTTAATTAAAAAAATTCCTAACTCATACATGATTCATGATACCCAAATTAAATACTAAATTACTAAATATCATCCAATCAACTTACAGGTTTGTAATGAAAGTCAAGCCTTATTATTTTTATTTGCAGTGCAAATAACAAATGACTCGGGTACATATAGCCAATCCAGACTAATCAGACACAAAAGTCAGCCTGGTCTAAACATGGAGAGCAGACTATTCAGACCCTGATTTATTTTTTACTTCAGCATCATTCCCCCCCTCCAAAAAGTCTGATGCATACTTAATTCACATTAGGTAAAATACAGATTATTATAGATGGCTGGGCATAGTGCTGGCCACCTTATCCCTTTTATGCCACTGTCACTGAAACTGAAGAATTTGATTTCATCTACCCCATGCAGTAGCGTAGCGGGGGGGGGGGGGGCGGGGGGGGACATATGTCCCCGGGCACCGAGCTTAGGGGGCGCCAAAATGGGTTGGAAAAATAAATTGAAAGGTTGAGGGGGGGGGGGGTGCAAATCAAAATCTCGAGGGGGGTGCAAATCAAAAGTTTAAGGGGGGGTGCAAATCAAAATCTCGAGGGGGGGGGGTGCAAATCGAAAAGTTTGTCCCCGGGCGCTGGGAAGGGTCGCTACGCCTCTGACCCCATGTATCTATCTTGTGCAGAATGGGAAAAGATGATGATAATTTCCCCTACTCCCCAATTGCTTCTAGATCTAAATACTAAAATAGGCCTATTGTATACTAGTATACTATTTAATATTTAATTTTATAGAAGTTAGCGAATAGATTTGATTAGATTCTGTTAGAATTATAGATAAATGCCAATTGAACTAGATCTAGATCTGTTCTAGAATTTAGTCTAGATCTAGGCCTAAAGGCATTTTTATTTTATTTTTCTTTAGACCTAGATCAATGACTTTATTATGATTAATAATTTTTACATTGTAGATCTTGACTTGCTATGTAAAATAAAATGTTGTAAAAAAAAAAACAACCCTCAACTCAAAACTTACAGTAAAATGTTCTGTCTGTTCTGCTGAACGTATATGAACACACCGATCTTGTAGATCTTTACCGAAGTTCGCCATATCTTTAAAACCATTTAAGTAATTCTGATTCTATAAAAAAGTTTGTACACGATTATTTGTTGACGTTATTTCGCAGAACGAAGTGTTTTTGTTGCCTACCATCTTCGTCTAATAGGTACCACCCTTAGAGAAAAATACATTATTTCCCTTTGTGTTGGCCAGATAAAACTGTGGCCGACATAAATTTAAATTGCTTGCTTATTATAAAAACCAACAAAAAAGAAATCAGCAAAGAACACAATTTTAAATTAAAATATGTATCTTTAAAAATAGTAGGCCCTATTCTATTTAATATTACTTTTTCCCCAAGGCCCCGATAAGTCTTCACCAGAAACCAGACACATCCCGTAAGGTTGATCCCTAAGCTAAAGAACAATTTAAAATTTTATGAAACATAGGCCCAAAAGTGCAAAATTGATTCATATTTCTATTTTTAAACTTAAAAATAAAGTCATGTGACTTCTACAAAAATAACAATCGCCTTGGAAGTAAGGCTACCTCATAAATAATAGTTCATAAAACATTATTTCTTTATGATTGATTAACCCACTAAGATTAAGAACGTTCGTTCTTATAATTTAGATCTATTTTATGTATACATTAGATTTAAATTATAATAAATTTAGGGGTCCTATAGTTAAGTAATAATAATATTTTTTTATTTGGAGAGTGAGTAAACTAAACTACAATCAAACTAGGCTACAACAATACAATGAGTTGAATGAGTAAACTAAAAAAAAAGTTAAAAGACGAGGCTGAGAAATACTCACTGACTGATGATCATACACACACTGATACTGGGTGGGCCTATGCCGATGAATTTAATTTTAAAATTTATCCTAGGCCTAATTTATTTATACAATATTTGGCCTAATTATTAATATATTAGTAATACTATTACTATTAAAATAATTAGTCTATTATAAATTATTATTTAAGTATTTTACTATTTTTTAACTTTATTTTATTATTGCGTTTTATTAAAGAGATTACTCAATACTGGGAGTCAAAAACTCTTTTAAACGTACTTTTGAATTTCTGAACATGAGATAATAGAACAAGAAATTCACTGGCATGAAATCCAATGATTATCTGCGGATGAAATATTAATAATAAATAATAATAGGCCTATATATTATATATATAAATTCTGATTAAAATCTGCCTGTAATTTGTATATTGAAAAATTGCTCACACAATTCTGGTGTTGAATGAATTATTAATTTATATTAAGAAATTAGAAAATGTGATGTCGCTTGTATTTGTATTGAGTTTATAGTTCCATTTATGTCTGCAAAAAAAACTCAACTCAGAGGCGTAGCGAACTTTCCCGGCGCCCCACCTCGAGATTTTGATTTGCACCCCCCCTCAAACTTTTGATTTGCACCCCCCTCCACCTTTCAATTTATTTTTCCAACCCATTTTGGCGCCCCCTAAGGTCGGCGCCCGGGGACATATGTCCCCCCCTCGCTACGCTACTGACTCACCTACACATTTTGAAGTTGGTTAAGAACATGCGATTTTTAACCTTCCCATAAAATAAATAATAAAAATAATTTTAAATAAAATTATAGGTCTACTTACAAACTTTTTTTTAAATACCTAATTTAGTAATTAAAATGCCTTTTTCAATTGTAAAGAAGTAGAGGGTCACTTAACTTTTGTAACATCCTGAAAAAAGTTGGGAACCACAGGTTTAGTTGAAGCATCTGTAAGAAAATTGCTGTATAATTTTTTTTTTTTAAATTATATAATAACTAAATTCCTTTTAAGTGTGAATTTACTGTTAAACCCGTGAAAAGCAGCTTCGAATAAGTGCATACTAAAACATACTTCTTTATGTTATAGCATCAGTCTAGTAGCCAACTATGAGCGTCTCAGAACTGAACAAGAGTCTGGCTCAGGCTGTAGATTTGTTTGTGATGACAAAGTTCAGTAACTGTTTTAAAATCTGCACAAATGTTATCAACAAAGCCAAGTGTGAACCGGAACAAGAGAGGTATAAATATTATAATGTACATTAAAACACAAGAGAGGTATATAAATATAATAATGTACATTAAGAAACCTTTAAAAAAATCTCTTTACAAATTTGAATTTCATGTTTTTATAGATTCATCTATAAATATAATTGGGTTGTATGTGTGAGTAAAGTACCCTTTCAGGCTCATGGCCCAAAGAGGTAGAAAGAGTACCAGTGCATTATGTTTTTACTTACAGGGACTGTGTGGTTGAATGTTATGTTAAAAGCTTTCCTTAAAATATTTGTATTTTTATTCTGGAAAAATTTAGTATTATCAGCATTCAATTGAATTTTAGCTTTATTTGTAGTTTTTATAATATTTTATTGAATATTTTATATGAATGATGTTCTTAATATTTTAATGTAAATGTGTATATATATATATATATATATATATATATATATATATATATATGAAGCTAAAAAATATTTTTATTGTTCTAGGAACCAGGAAGTTATTGAAGCTGCTACAGCACTGGGCATCCAGGCTTTAGCTGAAACTGACTTATGGCATCAAGTTGTGGCATTTATTAATGAAACATATGGCTCTATTGAACACTGTCCACCTCGTATTATACAAGTCTGGTAAGAAAATTTAATAAAGTAGTCTATGCAAGTTTTATTAGCTAACTTACACACTGCTTTTTAATTTAAATTCAGGATTTCCTTGCAGTGATCTGTTAATTTAAGTCTAAAGAAAATTTACTAAAGGGTCCTAAATTATGTCATTCTCCTATTGGTTTAACTTTCTGATAAAAACTATATAGCATGCTCATAATGTATCTATCATTTTTCCTACTATTCCATTTAAATTTATATGATATATATGTAATAGAAGTCCCCAATGTGCTATACAAGATCCTCTGACATTCCAAGATACTATAATCATAGTTGTTCTGATTGATCCACTGGTTACCAAGGAATGTTGGCTTTAGCCAATAAGCTTCATTCATTCGTCAATATAGAGATCCATCCTTCCTCAGAATAGCTTTATTTGTGTTGTCAGTTCATTTCTGTGGCTGTTAAACTTTTGATAGGGAGGGTTTTCTGGCCCCTTTGACTTTGCGTCCTCTGTCACCTTGGTTTTGTTGGAATTTAACAGACAAATAGGAAGAAACAATATATAATGGCAGTATAATATATGCACAATTGTATCAAGTAAATAGCTAACAATACCAAATTACGAATTTTAAATTCTTATGTAAAATTCTGAAAGAAATGAAGAAAATAGCAAAATGCAGGAAAGCATGGAACAATGTTGTAAATGGCCAATGTTCCATTGAGAGTTTAAAAGGACAAAGACTCAAGACATCCCACCTGCCTTTAAACAATTGTAACCAATCATTGTAACCCACCTTAAAATAAGAGACAAAATAAGTCATTAAATAGTTGTAAATATTAGAGGAGGGGAAGAGTTTAAAGTCTATATTTCTACTATAGTTTAAACTTAATAAAAGACACATCTAAATGTCATTGCTGATTTCTTGATGATTTTCATAAACAATGTGAGAAAAAACATCTAAAAGTAACTACTAATTTCTTTATGATTTTTCATAAACAATGTGAGAATTTTCTTAGTATATATTTCAATGGTTCATTGTTATACTTCTTGACCTCTGCAGCATTCTACTTCATGCTCATGTTAAAGAATATCTTCCTTGTCACAAAATTGTGCAAATGTGGTTAAGCAACCCACATAATTTAAATCATGAACAGTGTTCAAAGGTAAAATTATGTAAATTAAAGATTATCAAGTTACAAAAATGTCAATAATAGAACAAATTAATCTGGCTATTTATCTGGATGAACTACAATACTTAATATTAATTTGCATTTCGTGGTGTGAGATTGGGGTCACCCAGTGACCCATTAAGGAATCACACAAAAAGTGTTAATGTTTTTTCTTTCTTCTAAAAACCAGGTTATTCGCATTTACGCACATCACATACTATGTCCAACTGGGTCTTATGAAACATTGAAAGAAATCGTACACAGTTGTAAGTCACTCACAGAGGCCGAAAGGACTGCTCTGCTTCAGTTACCCCAAGTAGGTATTTTTTGTTGTTCAGTGGTTATAGTCAATAAAAAATAGCTCCCTTTAAAAATTGTAACATAAAGTAGGGCCTATACATATTATATTATTAATTGATAACATACTTAGTATTTGTTCTTTACAATAATAAATCTAATTTCAATTGTTCAGTCTGCATTTATTTGTAAAATACGAAGTACACAAATATTTTCTTTCAATAGGCAGTGAGATACAATGAAGCTAAAAGGAGAAGTTTAGAAACCTGCAATGAAGGCTTTGAAATCCCTAGTCAGTTAAATACAACTAATAGCTTAGAACATCTTGATAAAATACCACAGCATAATAGCTTAGAAATGGATTTACCAACAGACTCACAACTTGGGCTAGTCAATGAATGTAACAGCAATAAAGAACAAAAGGAAAACATTTCTTCTACTACAACTACAAGGGAAGGTGATAAAAATATTCATGGTAAGGGTACATTTTTTTTAAATATTCAGATCAAATTGCTACGATTCTAGATGTTGAAAATATAATTTGATCCTCAAGTTTGTAAGTCTATTACATAACATTTTTAAGTAAAAAAAAATAGCTTTTGAATTTTTTTTCCTTTTCAGAAAGTAAACTTATGACAGCATGCAGAACTATTTGTAATTTAATAAAAAACTGTGTTTGGCATCGTCGTTCATTTCATTTAATTGTTATGGCAACCTTTGCTCTGTGGTCAGTAATTCAAACACAAACAGGTATTACTGTTAATATAAGAAATCAAGTAACCCTTTATTCTATTGAAGTGTATAAAAATAAAATAAAAATTTAAGTTATGCATTGTAATAAAAAAGTAACTTAAATAAGTGAATCCAGACCTAAGGATCACTCAATGGTGCAACAAATCCCTGGTTAATTATATTTTTATCATCAACACTTGCCCTGTGATAATCCTCATTTCATACTTTGGTTGGAATTATTTATTTAGCTTAAATCTACTTTACTAATGTAGTTAAAACACATTTGGTAAATTATACATTTGTTAAATAATTTTTTTTTCTGCATGTAAATAATGTTTAATTCTTTTTCTAATAATGCAGCTGATCCTGTATCAAGCCTGGGAAGACTAGTCACTTTGTGGAGAGTGTTTTTGCATAGACTTGGTGCATTTTTTGCTGGCAATTAACCATCTTCATTGGTGTACAAAATAACTTATTTATACTTTGCCTTTAACATGCTGCTTTTACAGTAAATAAAATTGTACAGTAAGCCTTCCAATATTGACCACTGTATTGTTTTGTGCTCTTTATCAAATGTGGTCTTAAGTATTTCAGGCAAAATAATTACCTCTGGGCTGACAAACCCAAAAATTTTTTTCATTAACAATGCTCAATTTTCCAAAATAAACCTATTGTTCCTAACTCTTTGCACCTTTTTTTGGTATGCATAGTGAGTCCAATTTAAATAAACATATATATGGAACATGCATGTAAACTAGAAATACCAGATAGTCAAGATATTACTGAATCATCCACGTATGTGCAAAAAAAAAAAATTTTGTTTTCTGTAGGTTCATAATCTATCCACTTGTTGCTATCAACTTTTTGATAACTAAGGAATCGATTTAAATAGTTACAACCTATCGTAACTGCTTATGGAATAATTTTTACAGAATCATTACATGACACCCCATACATACAATTATTAAGTACAGCAGTGCTTAATCTTACATTCATACACTTACATAAAATTTGAGAAACACCTATTGCAGTACAAACAGTTTTATTTCATATTTACAAACCCCCCTCTGCTTATCTTGAATAAAAGTAACAAGCAATACACCATTCTGATTCAGCTGCACAATACTAACTTAGATATGTACAGATCAAACAGATGGTAGAAATGGCATGTAACTTAGTTGAGGAACAGCTGCCTTTATGAACCCCACCTCTGCTGAATGCATCATATCTCCACCTCAAACCATTCAAATGGATTAAATCATTTTAAGCTTTTCATATTTAAAATAGCTAAGATAACTAGTTTTCATAAGCAAATATTCTCAAATGTGGTTAATTGGAAACTGTACATGAAGCAGCTAATCTGCATTTGACTATCCCTTTCCAACTAAAAAAAGTTTACTGGATTACACACCACCTGGTCTGCCAACTCAGTTCCACAAAGGGGTAACACTGATAAAAACCACATTTGTAGTATATCATTTTCAATTTAAAACTACATCAACTCTCTAGGATGTATTGAAAATGACATTGAGTTTATAATGTACATAAAATTTGCTATTGATGAAGAATTACTTCTATCAATGTTATCACATATTACTTTACTTTAAACAATTATTACAAGTGGCAGAAGTTTAAGAGTTACAAAGGGGCAAATTCAGTCTTTTATGTAGTTTTATAATGAAATCCGTTAACATCCTAATAGAACACAGACCATAGACACAAAAGCAGAAACACAATTCCATTCTTAGACATTGGGGAAGAATGGCAAACCAACTGTTGCACATAAATGAAGTGTAATAAAATAGCTGAAGCATAGTGAAAATACCAAGTTAAAATAAAACTTATGAAAAAAATCCCTTAAATGACTACTAAATTGTGTTTACTTTAAACCATAAGTCATTTTCATAGTAAATGACAAATAATCTTGGAAAATTAATTCAATTTGAATGTAAGCTTGTTTAAAACAAAAGAAAATATGGAATCAATTATGAAGATGAAATCATATAATAAAATCCTTCAACCAGATCTATTTACAAAGCAACACATTTGTTTTTCATTTCAATTATAAAAATTTTCAGCAAGTGGAAAGGGAAACCTCTAAAATATTTTCTTCTCAAATGTCACATAGAAATTTGATTTAGACATATTAACATACAACTATATTAATTTTACACAATCAAAACAAAATGTGAAATTTTAAAAAGTACAGCAACAACTGCAATTAAAGATTCGTATCAACTGACACCTCATTCTAAAGATTAAAAAAAAATGGCCTTCCAGAAATAAATGAGCAACAAAATGATAAGCACGGCTCATCAATCTGATCACTATGCTGCAGCCACCAAGTCATTTGAGTCCATCGGGCAATCTCTTGCTATGTGTCCCATCTGGTTGCAATTATAACACTGAGTTTTATTGGCAGCATCTGGACATTCACGAGCCAAATGGTCATTAGCTCCACACCTGAAACACGTAGAAAATGTTATTTACACTACCACATGAGCACAGGTGGAAAGCATGTGGATTTTAATTACAAGAGCAAAAAACCCCAAAAAAAAAAAAAACTACCCATGAATTATGTTATATGAGAGTAATGCTCAGTTAATCACTTCCACAACTGTCTTTGAAAAACAAATCAAAGATCAGGCAAAATGTGACACCATTGAACATTATCATGCTATTAAAAAACCCAACATGTAGATCCATCTCCCTGATGCTAAGATTAGTTTGTGCCCTCTAGTTTGTTCCATCACCCTTACTGCTGCCATTAACATCATTACAAAACATCAAAACCAATGCCAAGCTACTTCTCTCCTCCACCTCTAACTCGTCCATCAGCAGTTCCTTTCCTCACCTATCCTGGCTGCCATCTTTTTTTCTTTTTTCTCACTCCCTCTCAGTTCCACTTCACCTCCCTGCCACGACCACTGTCTGCAGACCACCGATATGGCCCACTGCTTCTAGCAGGTCTGTCTCTCGCAGAACGAATGGGCCCAATTCCTCCCCTGTGCAAATGATAGTCACTATCTCAAATCTCCTCCTCCCATCTTCCACCACCTCCACATCCTCTTACTTCAACTGTACTTTTGTAATGAACCAGGCATCAGAATAAAAAATTCTTCGCCAATACTGCACCGTTTTGCACCCACCCACGTAAAGACCTGTAACACTATACTACAAATTTAGTTGCTATACAAGCCATTTGTCTTTATCATATTATACTGATGCCTGGTTAATAAAAGCTAATTCCATTGGAAAATTATATGAATGGCAGCATTTTCGTAGAGTGACAGATACAGAAACAAATGAGGAACAAAATAAAAAGCTAAATTGGCAACCAATATGAATACTTAACAAATGGAACATCCACTTTTTTAAAAGAGGTAATAACCACATGTTAAATTAAATTCAATCGTAAAAACGTTCATAACCCAACACTGTCTAACCCACATTTTATCTGGCTTACTTCCATTCCAGCAAATTTATTTTTAATATTACTAGAACTATCTAACTATTGCAAAACTAGATACTCTAGGTAATCAGAAAAGTAGCATAAAATTATTTTCATATCAGTACTAACAATTATAACAATTATGTTGCTTGACAACATAAACTAGATCTACATAATGCATTACATTTTACAGCAGTTTAATTCAGCTAAGAAGACAAGAGAGATACATTACTGAACACCCATATTTCCCTTGTTCTGATGGTCAAATCATGAAATGACTAGTAAAGTTAAGAACCAACACTTTATAAAAAAATATTAAAGAACCAACACTTTATAAAAAAAATATTAACAGATAAGAATAAACCCAAAACTATTTTTTAAAACTAGTAATTACCTGTAACAATCTCTTGCCATACTACGCTGAGCTGTAGGACATTCTCTTGAAATGTGACCAACGCCACCACATCCATAGCACTTGCGGTCATCTGGACCACGATCTTCTGGACAATCACGAGCCAAATGGCCATTTTCACCACACCTGTAGCATGGCCTACTGCTCACTTCAGGGCAGTCACGTTGAACATGACCAGGACTCTTGCAATTATAACATGCACCTGAAAAAGAAAGCTTACAATTATAATAAAATCAAATACTTAGAAAAACTCAGAAGTTTTGCTTTTTAACAAACAGTAAATCAGTAAAGGTTTTACTATGCATAGGCAGCACAAAAAGAAGCCTTACGTAATTTAAAATTACTCTGGTCTAACAAACAGTTATAAATTTTAATACACAAAATGGCCAAAGTAAAAGAAATAAGAACTATTAGTGCAATTTGTACTAAAACAGAAAAAGGAGCCCAACACACAAACCTCTACTCAAACAAATTTGGCTCTGACAGTGCATTTTTTTTTGACAAATAGAGATATGTGTCAGATATCCAGGGTGTTGTGTGTCATGTTAACAATCCTCTTTTTCAAACAAACAATTTAAAGCCAAAATGTGCCTTATTAGTGCAGAGTAACATGCCCCTATTAATTGATCGCATGGGATACAATAAAAAAAAAAGCTGCAATGCTTCTAAAGTTTGGATAAGAAGGTGGATTATTAAACTACAAATCAATGTTAGCAACATGTCTATTCAGAGTTTAGTGACCTGTTTTCATCTGCTGGGGCTTGTCAAAGTTGTTGAACTTCTTACCCTCAACCATACCTGTCAGGGATGCAACAAAAGGTCAAAATCAGGGAACAATTATGGTTTGATTCAGGCATCAAAATATTTATGATGGGGAAGGGATGGAGTAAATTTCCCAAATATTTTTTTTTTAATTCCTAATGACCATTAATTTTTTAATCAAATTCAAAATGCTATGTCAGGCCTTCTTGAGAACAGATCTGTATTAAAGGAATCCTTTGGAGATTGCACTGGAAGGGTTATTCTTTTCTACATACTTTTCATACAACCTTACAAAAATAAAATGCTTTAAAGTATAAGTAAGTACTAATTGGCCAATCAAATGATTTCATCAAAAACATGAAACAAATGGTACATTGACTCACCTAATAGCACAAAAATTCTAACCAAATAAACAGAAGTTTTGTTTTTAGAAACTATCTAAAAAGTGTTTATGGTCAACCCTTTTATTTCACTTAAGGATAAAAGTAGCTTCAACAAATAGTTGTGGTAAGGTAATTATAAGAAGGTAAATATCTGCAGTATTGGAAAAAAATTCTTAGTATTCAAATGAAAGTTATTGATGTGCCACTATCCCTAAATTGTATAGTCTAGCAACTGATCAGTTTACATTAAGACGTAACTAAAATTAATTTTCGATATGCAGTTACAAGAAATGCTACATGCTTTTCTTGAATCTTAAGCTAAAAACACTTTCACTCAATTGTACTTGAGAACTAACCTGAATCTATGTCCTTTTCGCACTCCTTTGCAATGTGCCCCAACTGATTGCATTTGTAGCACCGGTCCTGGTCCATTCTGCATTCTCTGGCGAAGTGTCCAGGTCTATTGCATTTGTAACATTTATCTGTAATAATACATTTTAATAGCATAAAATACAAAGAAGTAGGCCTATGTGAAATCTCTGATTAAGGAGAGTGTAGAAAGTAATGAGCTGGTGATTAATGCAGGAGAATGAAAATGACTGTACCCTCACCGGCTCCTCTGCCGTTGCGAAAATCCATGCGCGCTCCTCTATCCCTGTTAAATCCTCCAGCGCCACCACCAGGACCACTGCGACAGTCCCTGGCAAAGTGGCCAGGACGTCCACACTTGTAACAATCTCCACTACTCATGCTTACTTTTCTTCCCTGAAAAAAGTGGCTCTAGTTCAACATACATAAATATCAATAATAGACCTTACAACTTGTTATAAGCAAAACATAGGCTACATTCTTCATATACACATATATAAAAAATGGGGGGGGTGGCTGATTTATTTATAAGACCCGTTTCTCATGGGTTCAGTGGAGGTCAAGACACACCAGACATAATTCGCAATGGAATTTTGTCAGTGCATCGACGGAACTATTAAGGGTTCAGTGAATTAACTGCTGGGGTTTGCAAATGAAAGAAAATTTTTTTTTTAAAATCAAAATTTCAGTCACAATTGAAAGAAACTGTTATTTGTAAAGAAGGTAATCTATCGTTTTGGGTACGTAAAATCGCCCGCGACTAGTAATGTGAAAAACAGGTGACTCCTTAAATTTTAATAATTATTTCACATTTTGAGGAGGATTTATGTTTTGAAAAATACAAAAATGTTTCCTTCTTTCATTTATGTACCTGTTTTTAAACAATTGAATTAAAACTTTTCAGTAATAAATGAAGACTAGCGATATTTCCAACAGATGCAACCATGCTCATTTACTATAGCAGCCATCTTGTTTAAGTTTTTTTTTATAGCGGATATAGCGCGAGACAGGCGGAAGTCACTCTATTTTACAAATGGCTGCTGTTTATATAGCAAATCTTGCTCGCAAACACTGCTGTTTAAAGTTAATTTCTGGCATATATTGATATATTTAGCCATTGATTTAGGTTTATTATTCATTTTTCTATAATATTTGACACAAATATATCACAATATACTTCTACTAACAAAGCCTTGATAATGAGGTAACTTTTTCGTACATTAATAGCCGCGGGCGATTTTACGTACCCAAAACGATAGATTACCGTAAAGAAGCCCTGATCTAGAATTCTAGATTCACATTTCTAGACCTATTTTAGATCTAGATAGTTTATTTGCAAAATACGCGTAAGCTAATTATAAAAGATCTAGTCAGGTGAAAGACTAGACTTAGTAGACTAGACTTTCATGAGCTCAAAAACCAACAGCACTGTTCGGCCCTAATCGTTACTCGGCAGGGAATAGTGGCGGAATCCATGACACTTCTGGAAAACCACCACAACCAGTGACAAATGTTCGTTAAGTTTTTATTCACATCTTTCTTTTAATGTCAATGTTTTATTGTATGCCGCTAAATTGTAAAGTAGACGGAAAGAAATTATCTATGTTTTATAAGAATAATATTGATCTATATAAACAATTGTGATCCTTACCCTCCAAATAATACAACCTACTTGACTCCCCCTCACCACGCTGATTTCAGTTTGTGTATTTTGCACACGGCTATGTACGCTTGATATTTTACTGGCCAGATTTCTGGCGAACAACAATTTCGGGCAGGCTAGGCCGAGCTAAAATTTATGTTGTAAGAATATTTCAAATAGATCTAGGTCTATATTTGATTACTAGATATGGATCTTAATATATCTCCGCTCTAAACATAACATGGGATTTATTAAAGTAATTTGAAATTCAACTGTTGCGAAAAATTAGAGCAGTTTTCATTATAAATTAACATTTTTAAGGCCACTCCCCCCCCCCGAACGAAATGGAATTTATATAGAAAATATATACTTTTAACAGTGTCCGCCCCCACCCCCCCCCCCCGAAAATTTCAAGTGCCCCCCACCCCCCCCCCCCCCCCCCCCCCGAGAAAAAAGTCTGGAAGAAACACTGAATTCAGTGCATAAGAAAAACCAACCTTCACAAGACGGATGCAGGCCGCATCGGGAGACAATATTTATTTAAAAAAAAAAACAAGTGTGTAGTATTTGATAACAATGGACTTCAATAGCAATCGTGGTTAAAGAAAACACTAAGCAAATCGTGGAATCACTGTCTCTTTCAGGCATATCTCCGATGTATATATATATATATATATATATATATATATATATATATATATATATATATATATATATATATATATATATATATATATATATATATATATATATATATATATATAAAGTAATGTGTATCCCAAACACATTATTTTCATTTTAAAAATTGCGGTCTTTTGATGCCATGAAAGCAAATTTAATGGTCATGTTTCCTTTTGCGCTGTTTTGCGTTTTGTTGTTTAAAAACATTTACAATGCATAATTAAAATGTCTCTATTATCCACAGTTTCTTCATCTTCGTCCAAATGGTTCGTTGGCTCCAACTTCAACCTGCTTTTTTTTCTGGATCTACTTTTATAGCCTATGTCTATCTATGAATATTATCCAAGGCAACATAGTTGTTAGATTTTTTGAGTTTTCTCTTCTAGATGAGTTGCTGTTCCCAGCTAATGAGCTTTCATCTACCCGGTGTTTCGAACTCGGGATTTTTTTTTTATTTAGCAATCAAGAGTTCTTATTATTCATGTATATTTCTTTATCTTTAACACATTTTGTTATTTTATTAACAATTTTGACATGTCACAATTTGCCTAGAGTTGGCTATTGTATTCCCTTACAACACGACGACCTCACTCAGAACCCGGTAGCTTGAATTCCATTTCATATGGTAAAAGTGTTATAAGTAATAAAGAAAAAAAAATAACATTCTTTCAACCTATAGGAGCCACAATACACATGTTTAAAAACAAAGTTACTATTCATGTTTTTACTTAGAAATTAATTCAGTCAAATGTCTCGTGAACAAAGTCGAACACCGTGTCGGAAAGGGATGTAGAATGCCTAGGCCAATTATGTTTTTAAAAATGGAAGCCACACGTTTTCGTGCGATATTTCCCGCTTATTCCCTACCATGCCTCATTGTCACAAAATGTAAGACCCCTCCCCGAAATGACGTCACACTTATTCCATACCACTTTTTAACTATTGTCCTCCTCTTAGGAGTGTGATGTCATTATGGACGAACCTTTATTCGAAAAAAATGACGTAATTTGCATGAAATCGACAAAAAAGATTTTTAGAATGCCATCTTTCTCACTTTAGATCTATACATTTTTATCCCTATATTGAAATTGCAAATGAGACGTGCACATATTACTTGACACGAACATGTTGGGGTGATGGTTTATAATTTTGCTGTATTAAGTTGTTTGGCGCGGTGTTGTGATCACCGAGCCGTATTATATAATCTATTTAGTTGATTAACAAAAATTCTTCACAGTTTCTGAGCCTGCCATTAGCTTTACTTTGATTCCACTATTATATTTCTAAAAGTCACTGTTCATCGTTTCGCGCACTGGAACCTTAGCCGTATTTCACTTACAACACCCGGTCGCTCGCAGTGTTTCTTCCAGACTTTTTTCTCCGGGGGGGGGGGGGCACTTGATATTTTCGGTGGGCGGGGGGTGGGGTCAACATTTCTGGGGGGGGGGGGGCGGACACATGTAAAAGTATATATTTTCTATATAAATTCAATTTCTTTCGTGGGGGGGGGGGGGGGGGGGGTGGCGGTAGACTTTCTTCGGGGGGGGGGGGGGCGAAGAGATGCCTAGAAGAAACTCTGGTAGTTCGTGATATTTCTGTCTTATGCAAGGAAAAAAACGTGTTCAGAAATGCCTCAATTCAACAGTTATAATGGAGTATAGTTTTGGAGGCACATAGATCTATTTATAGTGAGTTATTGTTTTTATAATTTTATATGTTCTATAATTCATTAATAGAGCCAATTAAATCTTAACCTGTTTTTGATCACTTTGTTCCTTGTATTTACATTCCCACTAATAAAATATTGAATAGCAATAAAAATTACATTACACACATATATAAAGGCAAAAATAGTACTTGTTAAATTAAATATTTTATTTCAAATAATGTTGTATGAACTCTTTTCCAATAATAACCAATAGACAACCTTTGGATGTAATAGTTCTTCCACCCTACTATACGTTTAGAATTATAAATGTGAAAAATTAAATCGATTCATTTTCGAAGCAAGGGTTGAGACTATTAAGAAACTAATTAGAAAATTATATGATTTTATTTACAAAGCCAAACTGGCATAAAATAATTTATCAACCAGCAAGGCCTAGGCCTACAACATTAATTTTGCACACGAACGTGTACTTTTTAAAATTTTCAATAAAAAAGAGCTCAATATATCTCAAGTTCAAAGGTTAATGAAACGCAATACTCGATCAACACGTACTAGAATCTACGATTTTTACTTTAAAAAAATTACTCGATTAAGTGTTGTGGTCGGGGTTCAAAAGCATAACCTTTTAAATATTTTGAACCCCGACCACAATATCTAATCTAGTTATTTTCTATAATAAAATGACCCATAGATCTAAGTGTAAACTGAATTAAATGTTATTCTGAATCAAGTGAAACCTCCTATGACCTATAGGGGATAGCCAGCCTAAAGTCTCATAGTAGTCATAGGGCACTAAAGGGTGACTAAAGTATAGTGACTTGTCTATACTATGCTAGTCTATGCTATAACTAAAGCCTACTAAGTACTAGTCTATATATTGTGGCGTAGCTAGGGGAGGACACGTGGGGAGGAGGGGGGGGGGGGAGGGAATGAAAGGGAAGAGAGAAAATAAATTAAAAGGGAAACTACTCTCACTCTGAAAAAGCTGTAGGATTTTATACTAGCCGGTAGCCGTAGCGTAGAGTCTAATACTAGAATCTAACTAGTAACTAGTAACTAACAACTTGTTAGTGACTAACAAGTCTTATACTACTACTACTAGATCTAGATCTAAGTAACTACTTCAAGTAAGACTACAAAACAGTGACACTGACTTGTGACTACAGAGTACAGTACAACAGTACAGTTACTAGTTACTACAATACTACTACTAGAATCTACTACTTACATAGTAACATAGTAATACATACATAGTACATAGTTAGTACAGTACTGTGACTGTACAAACAGTCACTGACTCTTCTGCTGAGTGAGTAGTGACTAGATCTAGTCTAGATCTAGTGAGTGGCGGGTAGACTGTAGAGTAGAGTACTGTAGAGGCAGTAGACTTGATACTCACTCTACGACTCTAACAGTCTCACTCTAGTGACTCTAACTAACACTCTAACACACAGTAACACTAACTAATTTATTAACTAGTTCTATTCTATAGGAAGCCTTTTGTATAAAAAACAAGTTAATAAAAAGTCTAGTGACAATTTGAGCGCAATTTCCTTATGTTTTATTTTAACGAGTAGGCCTACACGATGCTCATTTTAAAAAAGTAGTATCATCCTAGGCCTACATGCTCAGTTTAAAAAAGTAGTAAATATCTTTTTGTGACCGGCAATATTGTTCTAAATTATGGCAGGAATCGATTGGTAAATGTTTCAAGTCGCTAAGTGGTCTGGTTGCTGAGATATGGGAAAAAACTGCATTTTTTCGAGGTTTTTTTGGCTTTTCCGGGAAATCCAGGAAGGAATTCCAGGAATTGTTTTGGCCCACAATCATCCTCAAAACTTGCTTAACATATTTGCTTTTGGAACTAGTCCTCGTTGAGGAGGAGATACGACTTAAAGCTGCGGACACACATCCATTCATTCATTCATCCATCCAGCAATGACGAGTTAATAATCGCAATTGTCTGTATGGAAATTGCGCTAAAAAGTATTAGGTAGCCTATTAGTATTAGGTAATCTATCCTAACTATAACTAATCACTAATCACATTCAGTAAATTAAATTATTAGGCCTAGGCCTAATAATAATTAATTATATTAAAATTATTATCCATGTGCTTGTCTGCTAATTATTAATATTTAATATTAGGCCTAGGCCTAATTAAATTAAATAAAAAATAAACAAGCACATGCTTGATTTTTATTTAAGATTCTAGTCTAGATCTAGTTTTATCTAGATTTTTCATTGAGTTTTAAAAATTACATTAATTTTAACTCCAAACAATCTCATAGGCCTATAATTAATAATATAGGCCCTATTATATTAATTTAGCCTATAGGCCTAAATTAGGGCCTAATAATTATTGTTTTGAGTTTATCTATATATATAATTCTCTACAGTGTATGTGAGGACCATGAAAGACACCACCATGTAAGGGCTTAGCCATTAGCCGTTCCTACCCCGCTCCCTAGGCATATTGCTACCGCCCCACCAATCTGGTGAGCTGTGGTTCACTTCAAAAGTTTTACAATAGTAGAGCTGAGTCAAATCAGTGACAGCTATAAAGGGCAGATAATTTAGTTTTTAAACTATTTTAAATAAAGTAGAAATAAAAAACAGTTCTGCTTGATTTTTTTTTTTTCATTTTGACTGTAAACCGTAGTTACAAGTGGGCAGGTGGGGAGGGGGAAGGGATGGTGAGGATAAACGTCCTTCATGAGCTACTGATAGTGTTTTAAAGCAAAATATTTTCAGTCGCAGCATTGGTAGTGTCGAAGTGAAAAATAAAACAACTAAATAGCGGCGTATGCTACGTCGCGCGTCAATAGTGTCATTGTCAGCTCGTATTTTACAATAGATCTAAATCTCTTTTAATTAAATTGGTCAGGCCACGTAAATTGAATTTGTTCAGTAACATTGCTTGTGTGTCAAATTTCTCGTATCTCAAAGCAATTTTCTACACTGAAATTAATTGAAATGCCATTAAAAAATGTTTGTCGTATCTCTGGGCACTTCTATGCCGATGTTAGACTATATTATAGTCAGTGTTTTTTTTGTTTAGTTTATAAGTCCTATAGAGTATTGTAGAAAGTTTTGTAATTTAGTGAGTAGTAATTTATTGGCCAATCTAATTTTTTTCCTTTTTGAATTTATTAATAATTTTCTGTTAAGAAATCTAGATTCTCTTTGTCATTTTTTTAATTTCAAAAGTATTCTTTTATTTAAAATTAAGTTTGTGCTGTTAAGAAAAATAGTTCGATTAAGAAGTTTAAAACAATAACAACCATTGACACCTTGGATAACCAGGAGGATATATTTAATTCTTTAGTACAATGGAATCAGTGGATCTATCTACGGAAAATGTTACAACTGAAGAGCCTGCATGTAAAAAAATAAAGCTAGATGCTCCTGGAGAAAGTAACAACATACAAAAACCCTGCAAAGAAGAAGATGCTGAATTACCTGCAACAGTTGTAGACAATGAAAAATGTATTGAAAATAAAAATGGTATCCAGTTAGAGAGCGAAATACATGAAAAAGAGGTGCCTATTACTGAAATACAAGCAGGAATTACTGAATATCTTGGTGAACATGAAGGTTTTAGTGCTGTTATAAAACAAAGGTAAAGTCATTTTGATTCTATTTGTTCTGTTGTTTTTATTTGTGTCAAACATTGCCTTGAAAAAACATCACAGTATCAGTAGTTTGGTTTTACATTTTATCATTCATATCATGATTCTATTTGTTCTGTTTTTGTGATTAACATTGCCCTGAAAAACATCACTGTATGGTGTTACATTTTATCAAAACAAAGGAAAAAATGGCATTAGTGGATCTAATTGGTCAAAATAGGAAACAAAAAAAATAACTTGGAAAAGTTGAGAAGGTATTTGATGACTTTAGAATCCCTCAGATGTGCAAACCAAGTTTGTTGCAGAATTCTAGTCCTGTCATATGCTTTCTAGGAAGTGAAAAAAGTACAGTGTCTTGGTGTCTTAACATTAACCAATAACTAGACATAGTCTTCTTTATTAAAATGAGCAAACTAATTAGGTTCATTCAGTTTAAATTATGTAGCAATATCTAACAATATAAGATAACAAATATAATTTGATTAACAGTTAAATATTTTATAATCCTACAGGTACTCTGATTTCATTGTAAATGAAGTTGATTTAGATGGAAATGAGGTGCATTTAACACAAATGACATGCCCTGTTGAGGAGACAGATGAAGATAAAAAAGCTGAAGATAATAATGACAAGGTATTTTATGAATTAGTTAGCACAGGCTGATTACATAGTTAAATTTATTTAAAATGATATAATCTACTTCACTTTTACAAATTCACATTGTATTATTAAATTACTCTAATAATTACTTTTGTTTTGTATTAATAAAGATTTTGTTTACTCTTCCCACCTATTCCAAACTAGTTACTATACTTTGTTTTATTGTATACGCATTTTAAAAAACTGTTCTTTGACCAGTCTTGGCGCTGATATTTTCTGATTTAAACATCAGACTCAAATGTTGTTTATCGATTGTCTCAGATTGTGTTGGAGAAACCAGATGTGATTAGTGATGAAGATCTCTCCAAGATTGATAACCTTGTTAAAACAGGAGATAAGACTGGTACTGTTAATATAATTGTAAGTTCTTGTTGTTTATGGCTTTTTAAATCAGTTTATAAGCTATTTCAATTAGACTGTTTTCAGTGACTTCTTTTTATATTTCACTCCTATGATATAGATAAAAGTAAATGTTAAAATAGTACAAGTAAATTTTAAAATAAATAAAGGATTTTATGTTACTTTTTAAGGCTCCTGAATGTAAAGATTTGCGCACTAAAATGCATTTGGCTATCAAAAAAACTTTTTCTGAGCTGGAGACCAAAACTATTGAAGAAGGGGGCAAAAAATATATTCAGGTATTGTGGAGATCAGGTAAGAATAAATTGCTTGGTCATTGCTATAGAATTCAGTTAAAGTTATGTTGAGGATGTTTTCCTGAAACAGACAACCACATACAGTAACAGATATGGTTGACTTTTGGATTGGGTATTGTTGTTGGTGATACAGATTTATTGGTTGATATCAGTTCACTTGTTTTTACAAGTTTCAGGAAATTACTTGTAGAGATTTATTTCTGTCTTATCGTGCTTAGGTTATTCAGTATAATAGACTTGCTAGTTTTATAAGTTTATAATTTACAGGGTGAAATTTCCTGTGTTCTTGTGAAGAACATAATCTAAGTAAAAATATAAAATTGATTTTAATTAATTTTTTAGCTTTGTTCATTTTCTCCTCACTTTAAATACAAATAAAATCTTAAAATAAATAATAACTTAAAGCCTATGTATCTCAGCAGCTAAATCCCGAGATAAATTTCAAGATGACTGGCCAAAATCACAAAGATCTTGTCGTTTTGTCAAGTTTGTTTTGTACAAAGAAAACAAAGATACTATGGATGCTATTGGGCTGATTGCCAAAAATTTGAGGCAAGTACATTGAACTATCTGTTTTTTTTTTTTGTAATTACTTTATTTAATTGATCCATGTTATTTTACAATTACAAATAATATTTATCCGTTTAACCTCATGGAAGAAAGAAAAAAAGACATTTTCAAACAGAAAAGACTGTTGCTTTTTTGCAAATGACAGAAGGTCACCATTATTGCTTTTTGCAATTATTATATTATCATTTTGATCAAATAAATTTAAACAGTTTGGCATGGAATTAAAATTAAAATCAACAAAAAAGAAAGAAAAAGAGGTAGTCAAAATGTTATGTTAGGGTTTTTGAATGTTGTGGTGTTTAGAATGACTCCATTAAAAATGATTATTTAGAAATTTTTTTAGTATAGTTCAAGTTGTATACAATTTTTATTTTGTCGGTAGGTTGAAGGAGAGTCTATTTCAGTTTGCTGGCACTAAAGACAGAAGGGCCAAAACCTCTCAAGAGGTTACTGCTAATAGGTATGTGCATGTTGTAAAAAAAATATATTCTGATGATGCAGTAATTAATACTTTAACTTGACTCTGAATAGGGTAAATATAATAATGGAATAGATTTTTCTTCATATAAACTGAAGCTTACAGTGTTTTTTTTGTTTTAGTTTTATTTTGTGATTGTACATTCATATTTGTATTGATTTTATGATTATCATTTATGTAAAATAATGTTTGAAATTTCTTTTTTCAGAATACATCCTAAAAAATTGGTGTTTCTTAATAAGATACTTCGGAATATGGGACTAGGTAACTTTCGGTAAATAATTTTCTACGTGACTAAATGTTAAATCTAAAGAAAGTTTGCTTTGAACTATTACTAAACGTTTTGAGTATGATACTCAATTGAATGTTTCATCTGTTAAATTTATAAATGTTGATTACAACTCAGCCTTTTGTTTCAAATTGGTTGCTAGTTATGTAGCGGAGCCTCTAAAGCTTGGTCAGCTGTCAGGAAATACATTTACCATCGTATTAAGGTAAGCAAAATAACAAATGTTTCATTGTAGTCATAGCTGTTATAAAAATAATAATTTTTTCCTATAGTCACATTTAAAAAAATTGGTTATTTCATTGAACATTACTTATTAAACTAAAAACTTTGATGAAATGGCTTCATTTATTTTGTGTAATTTTTTTTTACATGTTAAATACATTTTTCAATGTTAAATTTATACCATTGGTGTCATTTACATTGTGTTGTGTCACAGAAATGTTCAGGGGAGTACAGAAACTGTGGATAATGCCATCTCTTCTCTGAAGGCCAATGGCTTTATCAACTATTTTGGTATGCAGCGGTTTGGAACCACATCAGTGCCCACACACAAAGTCGGATGGTTAGTGCTGTTTAAATTTATTTTCATTCCATTTTTTTCCTGCCATTGTCTGTCTTTAGATGCTCTTCCCTTTTATCAATTAATATTCTCTGATTGATTAAAAAAATGAAACTTTGTTTACTTTGTGTTTCAGCGCTCTTTTACATGGGGACTGGGAAAAGGCCATTGATTTAATTTTACAACCTAGAGATGGTGAGAATTGGTGGTTTTTATTTTAATTAAAAAAACTCAGTCTTTTGAAAGTGTACTACAAGTATACTAAATCTGTGTACCATATAAGGAAAGAGCTATTTAATTTAAAACTACTTTATGTTTAGCAACATGAATTGTACAACAATTTTTTAAAAATATGTTCTTAGATTTAAAAGGAAAAAAATATTAATTTTAAATTACACACATGATATTTGATTTGTTTGTCAAATGAAACAAAAATTGAATACCAAAAATTGTATTTCTAGACAATGCTTCCAAAGATGGCTTCCAGAAAATATGGAAGGAGACTCGTAACCCTGAGAAAACTTTGGCAGCCACACCCAAATTCTGTGGCCTTGAGAGGAATCTGTTAGAAGCCCTCAAAAGGAATATGAAGCCCTTTAATGCATTAGAAAAGGTAGAGTTCCAAAACCTTACAAAATATATTTTACAGTCTTAAAAGATGTTCTTGACTTACTTCACACTTAGTAGATTTACTGTGAATATAGTTTTTTTATAACTTTATTGGCTCATGACTCTTACCAAGCAACTAATTTTGTTTTGTAAAAATTTTTCATGTGTTCTTTCTTACGTTGATTTTACACGTAATGATCAATTAATCAAATATATTCCTTGTTTTTAGAAGTGGTTTTATTTATTTATCTCCAACTTAGTAAGATTAATATAGCCTGTTTTTTTCACTCTGTATTGTGATTATAATGATGTTTCCTCTATAATGATATTGGTAATAAGTTCTTTAGTATTTCCTTTGAAACAATCCATTTTATAAATTTAAAAAGTTGTTTTCATCTGTTTCTAGAAGCTCATCATGGGATAGAATTGTGTGGCCAGCACCACACTAACAAATGTTAACCAAATTTTTTCAAATACTTGTGCGATTTTGATTGGAATCAGGGATGCCCCTTAAATTGAAGCCTTGAATTGAACTCAAGATTTTCTGTTTAGCATACAATGGGCTCTACCACATGACCACACCATCCTTTGGCTTGTGTTTCCCTTTAACTATGATTAACTTGTATAGAACTTTTTATTAACAGATATCTCGGAATACCAGGCTTCTGTATGTTCACAGCTATCAAGCCCTGATTTGGAATTTGATGGTATCAAAAAGGCTGCAGAAGTTTGGTAAATTGCCAATTATTGGGGACCTTGTGCTTCCAGCTAACTTAAAGAATGAAGGTAATTGAACTTGAATTAAAAATATTGTTTTCAAGAAATTTTTATTTTATAAATATGTTAACAAAGTTTAATTTATGTATGCTGATTACAATACTTTAAATGTAATTAAAATATTTATTTACTTTAATTTAATTTAAAATAATTTACCCAACAAAATGGTATCTAATCAGTATTGTTTGTATTTTTTGTCTAACAGAACATGCGACTCCTCTAGTTGTGACACAAGATAATTTAGATCAGTATACCTTACATGATGTGTGTATTTTTTGTCTAACAGAACATGCGACTCCTCTAGTTGTGACACAAGATAATTTAGATCAGTATACCTTACATGATGTGTGTATTTTTTGTCTAACAGAACATGCGACTCCTCTAGTTGTGACACAAGATAATTTAGATCAGTATACCTTACATGATGTGTGTATTTTTTGTCTAACAGAACATGCGACTCCTCTAGTTGTGACACAAGATAATTTAGATCAGTATACCTTACATGATGTGTGTATTTTTTGTCTAACAGAACATGCGACTCCTCTAGTTGTGACCCAAGATAATTTAGATCAGTATACCATACATGATGTGTGTATTTTTTGTCTAACAGAACATGCGACTCCTCTAGTTGTGACCCAAGATAATTTAGATCAGTATACTTTACATGTGTGTGTATTTTTTGTCTAACAGAACATGCGACTCCTCTAGTTGTGACACAAGATAATTTAGATCAGTATACCTTACATGATGTGTGTATTTTTTGTCTAACAGAACATGCGACTCCTCTAGTTGTGACACAAGATAATTTAGATCAGTATACCTTACATGATGTGTGTATTTTTTGTCTAACAGAACATGCGACTCCTCTAGTTGTGACCCAAGATAATTTAGATCAGTATACCTTACATGATGTGTGTATTTTTTGTCTAACAGAACATGCGACTCCTCTAGTTGTGACACAAGATAATTTAGATCAGTATACCTTATATGATGTGTGTATTTTTTGTCTAACAGAACATGCGACTCCTCTAGTTGTGACACAGAACATGCGACTCCTCTAGTTGTGACCCAAGATAATTTAGATCAGTATACTTTACATGTGTGTGTATTTTTTGTCTAACAGAACATGCAACTCCACTAGTTGTGACACAAGAGAATTTAGATCAGTATACCTTACATGATGTGTGTATTTTTTGTGTAACAGAACATGCGACTCCTCTAGTTGTGACCCAAGATAATTTAGATCAGTATACCTTACATGATGTGTGTATTTTTTGTCTAACAGAACATGCGACTCCTCTAGTTGTGACCCAAGATAATTTAGATCAGTATACCTTACATGATGTGTGAATTTTTTGTCTAACAGAACATGCGACTCCTCTAGTTGTGACCCAAGATAATTTAGATCAGTATACCTTACATGATGTGTGAATTTTTTGTCTAACAGAACATGCGACTCCTCTAGTTGTGACACAAGATAATTTAGATCAGTATACCTTACATGATGTGTGTATTTTTTGTCTAACAGAACATGCGACTCCTCTAGTTGTGACACAAGATAATTTAGATCAGTATACCTTACATGATGTGTGTATTTTTTGTCTAACAGAACATGCGACTCCTCTAGTTGTGACACAAGATAATTTAGATCAGTATACCTTACATGATGTGTGTATTTTTTGTCTAACAGAACATGCGACTCCTCTAGTTGTGACACAAGATAATTTAGATCAGTATACCTTACATGATGTGTGTATTTTTTGTCTAACAGAACATGCGACTCCTCTAGTTGTGACACAAGATAATTTAGATCAGTATACCTTACATGATGTGTGTATTTTTTGTCTAACAGAACATGCGACTCCTCTAGTTGTGACCCAAGATAATTTAGATCAGTATACCATACATGATGTGTGTATTTTTTGTCTAACAGAACATGCGACTCCTCTAGTTGTGACCCAAGATAATTTAGATCAGTATACTTTACATGTGTGTGTATTTTTTGTCTAACAGAACATGCGACTCCTCTAGTTGTGACACAAGATAATTTAGATCAGTATACCTTACATGATGTGTGTATTTTTTGTCTAACAGAACATGCGACTCCTCTAGTTGTGACACAAGATAATTTAGATCAGTATACCTTACATGATGTGTGTATTTTTTGTCTAACAGAACATGCGACTCCTCTAGTTGTGACCCAAGATAATTTAGATCAGTATACCTTACATGATGTGTGTATTTTTTGTCTAACAGAACATGCGACTCCTCTAGTTGTGACACAAGATAATTTAGATCAGTATACCTTATATGATGTGTGTATTTTTTGTCTAACAGAACATGCGACTCCTCTAGTTGTGACACAGAACATGCGACTCCTCTAGTTGTGACCCAAGATAATTTAGATCAGTATACTTTACATGTGTGTGTATTTTTTGTCTAACAGAACATGCAACTCCACTAGTTGTGACACAAGAGAATTTAGATCAGTATACCTTACATGATGTGTGTATTTTTTGTGTAACAGAACATGCGACTCCTCTAGTTGTGACCCAAGATAATTTAGATCAGTATACCTTACATGATGTGTGTATTTTTTGTCTAACAGAACATGCGACTCCTCTAGTTGTGACCCAAGATAATTTAGATCAGTATACCTTACATGATGTGTGAATTTTTTGTCTAACAGAACATGCGACTCCTCTAGTTGTGACCCAAGATAATTTAGATCAGTATACCTTACATGATGTGTGAATTTTTTGTCTAACAGAACATGCGACTCCTCTAGTTGTGACACAAGATAATTTAGATCAGTATACCTTACATGATGTGTGTATTTTTTGTCTAACAGAACATGCGACTCCTCTAGTTGTGACACAAGATAATTTAGATCAGTATACCTTACATGATGTGTGTATTTTTTGTCTAACAGAACATGCGACTCCTCTAGTTGTGACACAAGATAATTTAGATCAGTATACCTTACATGATGTGTGTATTTTTTGTCTAACAGAACATGCGACTCCTCTAGTTGTGACACAAGATAATTTAGATCAGTATACCTTACATGATGTGTGTATTTTTTGTCTAACAGAACATGCGACTCCTCTAGTTGTGACCCAAGATAATTTAGATCAGTATACCATACATGATGTGTGTATTTTTTGTCTAACAGAACATGCGACTCCTCTAGTTGTGACCCAAGATAATTTAGATCAGTATACTTTACATGTGTGTGTATTTTTTGTCTAACAGAACATGCGACTCCTCTAGTTGTGACACAAGATAATTTAGATCAGTATACCTTACATGATGTGTGTATTTTTTGTCTAACAGAACATGCGACTCCTCTAGTTGTGACACAAGATAATTTAGATCAGTATACCTTACATGATGTGTGTATTTTTTGTCTAACAGAACATGCGACTCCTCTAGTTGTGACCCAAGATAATTTAGATCAGTATACCTTACATGATGTGTGTATTTTTTGTCTAACAGAACATGCGACTCCTCTAGTTGTGACACAAGATAATTTAGATCAGTATACCTTATATGATGTGTGTATTTTTTGTCTAACAGAACATGCGACTCCTCTAGTTGTGACACAGAACATGCGACTCCTCTAGTTGTGACCCAAGATAATTTAGATCAGTATACTTTACATGTGTGTGTATTTTTTGTCTAACAGAACATGCAACTCCACTAGTTGTGACACAAGAGAATTTAGATCAGTATACCTTACATGATGTGTGTATTTTTTGTGTAACAGAACATGCGACTCCTCTAGTTGTGACCCAAGATAATTTAGATCAGTATACCTTACATGATGTGTGTATTTTTTGTCTAACAGAACATGCGACTCCTCTAGTTGTGACCCAAGATAATTTAGATCAGTATACCTTACATGATGTGTGAATTTTTTGTCTAACAGAACATGCGACTCCTCTAGTTGTGACCCAAGATAATTTAGATCAGTATACCTTACATGATGTGTGAATTTTTTGTCTAACAGAACATGCGACTCCTCTAGTTGTGACACAAGAGAATTTAGATCAGTATACCTTACATGATGTTTGTATTTTTTGTCTAACAGAACATGCGACTCCTATAGTTGTGACACAAGAGAATTTAGATCAGTATACCTTACATGATGTTTATATTTTTTGTCTAACAGAACATGCGACTCCTATAGTTGTGACACAAGAGAATTTAGATCAGTATACCTTACGTGATGTGTGTATTTTTTGTCTAACAGAACATGCGACTCCTCTAGTTGTGACACAAGAGAATTTAGATCAGTATACCTTACGTGATGTGTGTATTTTTTGTCTAACAGAACATGCGACTCCTCTAGTTATGACACAAGAGAATTTAGATCAGTATACCTTACATGATGTGGTCTTGCCTCTTCCTGGTCATGATGTTATTTATCCCAAAAATGAAGGTAATTTTTAGAAACCTATTTGTTTTGTGTTGATCAACTTTATAATATAAAGTTATAAAGACAATGTTCATTTTTAAAAAATCTTGTTTTATAATGTGTTTTAAATACATCTTGTTTTTGATTAAAGACAATGCGAAGGTTGATTACCGAATTGTAATAGAATAAAAGACAAAAGCTCCTGTTACTATGAAAAATGTGAACTGTTTTATTAATTGTATGTTAAAATTCCCATCAGTAAAACAGTAGCTATAGGTTGTTGTTTTATTTTCCATTTGTCTATACCTGTAAAAATGAAAATTTATTTTCAGTGTTTGATTGGTACAAAAGTGCCCTGGCAGCTGACGGCCTTGACATTGACAACATGAAAAGAACACAAAAGTGAGACTATTAAATAGTTCATATAATAACCGTTTGTCAGTTTTAGTGAGAGCAAATTTTTCATGTTAATTAATCTAATCTAAATATTTTATAGTAACAGCATTCATTTAGTTTAAATAAGTTTATTCCCTTTTAAAGAAAAAAAAAAATTCATTGAATAAAATTTATCACGAATAAAAATGTCTATGAACTAAGTTTTTACCTTACTCAGGGACTATTCGTTGCCGGGAGCTTATCGTCATGTCACCCTACTGCCAAAGAATGTCACATGGTCACATCACAACTACGATGACTACACACTGCCAATAACTTTAAGCGATTTGGATTTGATTAAAGAAGTACAGCTGCCTCCTTCAGATGATAAAGGTAATTTTTCTCCCCAATCTGCCCTGTACTCAATGGTTCAAGTTTAAACCTGACTCACTGTTTTCAGCTGAGGTGTATATTTTCCCTATTTTATGGTGGGAAATCTGATTTTTTTTTAAACTTTCTTCTTAAAAATTAATTATCTACCATTCATATAAAAAGAATACTGTTTATAATGAAACACTGTGTTGTTGAATACCATGGTTAAATATTCAGTCTGGAAAAATGTCTTGCCTTAGCATAAATGTGGTCATTTTCAATAAAAAAAAGTAAGAAATTATAGTTGACCAGCAAAATCTGCCTGGAGACTGTTAGTTTACATGAAGATCACAGAAATAAGTTTTTTTTTACAAAAACAATAATGTTTAAGCTGTCCGAATGCCCAATATTACTATTATAATATTTTAAGATAATTTTGTTTATACTATTTTTGTCTATTATGCCACTATGTTGTAATGATTTGTTTTCTTTGAATTAACAGGCAGCCTGAAAGCTGTGGTGTTGAAATTGACCCTGCCTTCATCATGTTATGCCACCATGGCACTGAGAGAAGTTTTAAAGATAGACACCTCAGCCGCTCACCAGACCACGCTCAATGTTAAATGAGTTGTTGTTGTTTTAATAAAGTCTGTGAAATTATAAAAATTAAATTATGTTTGTTAAAACCTTTCATCATCAGTTGTTGTTTGCCTTCATTCAAGTCGTTGAAGATGTTTTTCTTTCTTTAATTGTTCCTGTAGGTCCTTTAATATTCTTTCTTTTTTTTTTTTATTCCTGAGTGCCATTTTCTGTTCCAATGTTGTTTTCATAGCTTTTACCTAATTAATGACAGAAGATCTCAGGGTTCTAACTGCTTTCCACATATTATCTGATTTTGGTTTTCCTCTAGGAATTTCATGGACCATTTTTGATGATTTGGTCTCTTTCTGTTTTATTATTTCTCATCGCCTGCACCATTCTTCTCCATTAATGTTTTCCATTTATGTATAAGTATTGTCAAGTGTTAAATGGTGATTCGACTAGAAAATAAAGAAAATAAAAAAAAAATACGTTGGAGAAAGTGTAACAATTGATTAGGTAACTTTCGGATATCTATTAAATAGCCTTCGTATCACAGCTAACAGTTTTCTATGTAAACTGTAGTCAACTTATTACTCTAAGTCTAAAGTCTATCAAGTATAAATATTAGATAAAGTTTCTTATTTGATTTTTAATATTTATATTTTAAAACTATCAAAAAACTGTTTTCTTTTTTATAAAATCGCATTCTCATTCTTTTTTTTTAGGAACATAGATATAGGTTGCCTCGCTTGGTAAATTTATAAATGGGAAGTAACTCACGCATTTTAATATTCAATGATAACAATTCTAAAGATTTTTAAACAGTACTTCCCAATCTGGGAGCAGGGTATTACCCAGTGTTTCTTCCAGACTTTTTTCTCCGGGGGGGGGGGGGGGGGGGAGGCGGTAAACTTTCTTCGGGGGGGGGGGGGGGGGGGGCGGACACTGTTAAAAGTATATATGTTCTATATAAATTTTATAAATTTCATTCCGTTCGGGGGGGGGGGGGGGGGCGGTAAAAAATTTTCCGAAGAGATGCCTGGAAGAAACTCTGGTATTACCTCATATCAATTACTCACTATCATTACCCAGATCAATTATCTCCTATTAATTACTCCCAGTTTTCGCCCTTAACAATAAATCCTACATACACGTTATATAAAGGCGGGTTAAATGAGATAGAACCTTACACTCTCCCCCCCCCCCCCCCCCCCCCCGGTGAATTAAGTCCGCCTTCGTCGAAATTTAAATTTTTTAATTGCTTAGGAAAGCAAGTACTTTTTACATTTTTTAATTTCATTTCTTAATCAATTTTAAGTCTTTTTATCAGAAAGTGTTTATTTTATTTATTATTAAGCAGGATTGTCATTTAAATTTTTTAAATTTCAAAATAATTTTGTAAGTTAAGCATTTTATAGCTGATATTTTCGCAAATTTTCAATATGAATTTTGTTTACACTCGAGTCAGTTTGGATCTTTAAACGAGTTAGTTTGGATCTTTAAAAATTTTAATTTTGTGAAGTCCATACAAACAATAATACATTTACAAGTCCACTATTTACTCTTTCTAGATAGTCTTGAATTAAAAAAAAAAAACTGAAATAAAACAAACTTCATAGTTTAATACTAGTACATCAGTACTAAATAAAAAATGTTTATTAGAACTGAATTGTTCTGGAGATGTGTGTGCTCCCATCTAAATTAGAAACAGTTTATCACTGGGGTGGATGGGTCAAGTTGATATTGGACAGACACAGGCTGCAGTACTTTCTGCAGAACTTGGGGCCATCAACTGGATCCAGGCAGATGGGGTGGTTCGTCTCGTTCATCAAGGCGCAGTCTCGCACGGTCATCATGTCGTCACATATGCTGGGGTGTATGGTGGCTGGGGAGATGTAGTGGGTAGGGGTGTTATGGTGGGGGTGTTTGTTGGTGTGTCATCATGTCGTCACATATGCTGGGGTGGATGGTGGCTGGGGAGATGTAGTGGGGGTGTTATGGTGGGGGTGTTGTGGTGGGGGTGTTTGGTTGGGGTGTTTGTTGGGGTGTCATCATGTCGTCACATATGCTGGGATGGAAGGTGGCTGGGGAGATGTAGTGGGGGTGTTATGGTGGGGGTGTTGTGGTGGGGGTGTTGTGGTGGGGGTGTTTGGTAGGGTGTCATCATGTCGTCACATATGCTGGGGTGGATGGTGGCTGGGGAGATGTAGTGGGGGTGTTATGGTGGGGGTGTTGTGGTGGGGGTGTTGTAGTGGGGGTGTTTGGTAGGGTGTCATCATGTCGTCACATATGCTGGGGTGGATGGTGGCTGGGGAGATGTAGTGGGGGTGTTATGGTGGGGGTGTTGTGGTGGGGGTGTTGTGGTGGGGGTGTTTGGTAGGGTGTCATCATGTCGTCACATATGCTGGGGTGGATGGTGGCTGGGGAGATGTAGTGGGGGTGTTATGGTGGGGGTGTTGTGGTGGGGGTGTTTGTTGGGGTGTCATCATGTCGTCACATATGCTGGGATGGAAGGTGGCTGGGGAGATGTAGTGGGGGTGTTTGGTGGGGTGTCATGTTGGGGGTGTTATGGTGGGGGTGTTTGGTGGGGTGTCATCATGTCGTCACATATGCTGGGGTGGGTGGTAGCTGGGGAGATATAGTGGGTAGGGGTGTTATGGCGGTGGGGGTGTTTGGTAGGGTGTCATCATGTCGTGACATATGCTGGGGTGGATGGTGGCTGGGGAGATGTAGTGGGGTGTTATCGTAGGGTGTTATGGTGGTGGGGGTGCCATCATGTCTTCACATATGCTGGGGTGGATGGTGGCTGGGGAGATGTTAATTGTAATGGGGGTGTTATGGTGGTGGGGGTGTTTGGTGGGGTGTCATCATGTCGTCACATATGCTAGGGTGGATGGTGGCTGGGGAGATGTAGTGGGGTGTTTGGTGGGGTGTCATGTTGGGGGTGTTATGGTATGGGTGTTTGGTGGGGTGTCATCATGTCGTCACATATGCTGGGGTGGGTGGTGGCTGGGGAGATGTAGTGTGGTGTTATGGTGGGGTGTTGTGGTGGGGGTGTTTGGTGGGGTGTCATCATGTCGTCACATATGCTGGGGTGGGTGGTGGCTGGAGAGATGTAGTGGTGTGTTATGATGGGTGTGTTTGGTGGGGTGTCATCATGTCTTCACATATGCTGGGGTGGATGGTGTTTGTGGGAGGTACTTGTAGTGCCATGTTATGGTGTGGGGGGGGGGGAAGCTTTTGATTGTCATGTCACATTGTGTAGATAGTGCTATAATTGGGTGCGTCACACATTGTAGGTAGTGTAATAGTTGGCGAAGTCTTTACGGTGACCAGAAAGATGCGCAACAGAAAATTGTGTAATGGAACAAAGCGCAAGAAAAAAAATGCGCAACGGAAAAATGCGCAAACCATAAAATGCTCAAAGTGAAAAATGCGCAACCAGATTAATGCACAAACAGAAAATTGCGCACACAGAAAAATGCGCATTTTTCCGTGTGCGCAGGTTTCTGTTTGCGCTTTTTTCCGTTGCGAATTTTTCCGTTTCACATCTTTCTGGGAACCAGTCTTTATAGACAGCACATTCACATCAATTAAACCACAACAAATTCAAGTGCTTTAGACTCCTTGACATGTAAACAATACTTACGACAATCTGTTTCATCTGAGGCGTCGCCGCAGTCGTTATCTCCGTCACATTTCCAATTGCCGTTGATGCAGCGGCCGTTGTGGCACTGGAACTGATAGGGCGTGCAGACTAAAGGAAAAAGTTTGGCTGATGGATAATGTATATACTTTTTCTTCAGTTTTTAAAGTTTGGATGATGGATAATGTATATACTTTTTCTTCAGTTTTTTAAAGTTTGGCTGATGGATAATGTATATACTTTTTCTTCAGTTTTTTAAAGTTTGGATGGCGTTTGGGGAAAGCGGGGTGCTCCAATTCTGTTTTTTTTTAGGAACTAGAAATGTGGATTGAAGCTGAGCAAACGTATAACATTTATAAACCAACAGTTTGTTATTGTGGGTTTTTGATTTTCATTTTGATAAAAAGATCTTAATTCTCTCTAAGAACTTCTGTCTTCTGGTCTTACATTGCAGATAGTCATCCTCGACAAGTCAGCCGACTTAAGGACCACACATATGGGACGGAGTGGTCAAAAGGTAGAGAGGTCTGAGGCTAGCCCGAAGGTCTCGAGTTTAGATCTCGGACCGGTCTCGAGACTGCAGAACGTTGCTGAGTTCAGTGGCGTAGACAGGAATCGGTCATGGGAGGGGGTCAAATATTTTTCCATATGTATAAAATCATATATATATATATATATATATATATATATATATATATATATATATATATATATATATATATATATATATATATATATATATATATATATATATATATATATATATATATATATATATATATAGGGGTGTGAGACCATGGGAGCGGTTATAACCCCCCCCTACCCCCCCCCCTTGCCTACACCACTGGCTGAGTCCACCCAGCTCTGATGGGTACCTGACTTACGTTGGGAAAAGTAAAGACGGCTGAGCAACTGCTGCCTTGGTAGTTTGGATGGACACATGCTACGGAATGAAATCTAAAAAAGAAAACTAGGCTGAAATCAGGAGCCAACGGTCTATATTGAGCTTACCATGTTGACACGTAAAGCAATTGTGTTGGAGGAAACCCCGTTCAACATTACAATTAAGAAGGAAGATAATCAATTTTAAAAGATAGAGGAAGTTGGGGTTAGTTTATTGATGGCCATACAGTCATGCAAAAGTGAACAAATATTATGGTCTCGTGACAATAGAGCACACAATAACAAGACTCCCGTAAAACTAAATCCGACATTAGGGACTCGTGACAATAGAGCCCACAATAACAAGACTCCCATAAAACTATCTGTTGTTGTTACCACAGTTCTTCTCGTCGCTGGCATCGTAACAATCATCATCTCCGTCACACTCCCAATTTAGGTCAATACACTTAGATCCATCGGCACAGCGGAACTGGTTGTCTTCGCACGCCCCAGCTGTTGTTATGGGGGGGGGGGGGGAGAGAGAAAGAATAGAAGATATGTAAAATTCACATCCACATACATATAATGTCAAATATTACATACCAGTAAAGATGTACAGCCATATATATATATATATATATATATATATATATATACGTCAGTAAGAACTAGTAAAAACCATAAATTTGCGGTAATAGTTATGATAAACTTACACAAATACTTTGTTATAAAATGCAATGTTTTCTAGCTCAAAGCTACACTAAAAAACAACAACCCAATAACCTGTTTTCTTAAAAAGTGAAAGTACAAACTACTACTATACACATAATGGAGACGATAATTCATTTTTTTAATCGACATCACAGCGGTAGAGCGCTACACTGCTAATCCGAAAGCCTCGAGTTCGAATCCGGGTTCAAGTCAGTAGAACGTCCCTGAGTCCACCCAGCTCTGATGGGTACCTAATTAACGTTAGGAAAAAATAAAGGCGGCTGGACATAGTGCTGACCACAGTATCCCTTCATGTGAAGATGTCACTGAAACAGACGAATTCTGCTTCATCTGCACATTGCATCTTGGGCACGAACAGGAAAAGATGATGACGATTGACACCCTATCGTCACCATATCGTCACCATATCGTCACAAAAGTGCAACCTACTGCAGTTCCTCTCGTCCCAACCGTCACGACAATCGTCACTTCCGTCACACAGCCAGGCTGCCTCTATACACAGGAAGTTGTCACACTGGATCTCGCCCGCTGAGCAAACGACTTTATCTGGATAAAATAAAAAAAAAGGATCTTGTCCAGATAAGCCCCGCCACTAATGCAAAAAGTGTACGGGCGAAAAGTTAAACTCCGCCATTTTTCTTTTGCCAGCACGCAAGCAACATTGACCAATGTTTCTTCCAGACTTTTTTCTCTGTGGTGGGGGGGGGGGGGGATGTGATAGGGCACTTGAAATTTTCGGGGGGCGGACACTGTTTAAAGTATATATTTTCTACATAAATACCATTTCAGTTGGGTTGGGCGGTAGACTTTCTTCGGGGAAGGGGGGGGGGTCCTTCCCGAAGAGTACCTGGAAGAAATACTGACACTGGCCTATTTCTGATGTCTAGACATAAAAAAAATTCTTATCCGCTTTTAAGGGTTAGGGTCAAGGTTAAGGTTAGGGTTAGTTAGGGCTAGGGTTAGGGTCAGTGTTAGAGTTAGTGTTAAGGTTAGGTTAGGATTAAAAACTAAAAGTACACGTTTCATATCACTTTTCATAAGCTTTTTTGGGCGGCATGGGTTAACTTTTTGACGGGGCTTATCTAGAAAGGATCCTTAAAAAATAAGACTATAAATATTATAACGACATAGGTAAACAAAAAAAAAATTGCTAAAAACTTTGGAACTTGATGCAAACTTAATTTTGGCACTTTCTAAAATGTCAACTCTACTTTATCTAAATCTTTTGTTTGTAAACTGTGAATGTCACGTGATGCAGATTCAGGTCACGTTGCCAATGTCACGTGATAATTTACCACGTTGCTAACACTTACGACAGTCGATCTCATCCGACATGTCACCACAATCGTTGTCACCATCACACTGGTATTCCTTGGTGAGACAGCGGCCGTTGGCACAGAGGAATTGGTGCTCACCACTGCAGTCAACAGCTGTCGGTTAAACAATAGACTCCAGGTTAAGCGGTCATTCAAACAAAAACTCGAGGTTATATGATAATCTTAAGTGTAGAAAGTGTTACATTTCAGTTATTTATCTAATTTTTTAGTATGGGAAGGTCAAACAAGATTTTGTACACTTTTTTCCATATATTTTTAATTTTTTTCTCTGATCATCCCAAACTAGGGCTTTATTCTGTCTCTAAAACCCAATGAAGTACAAGAGCACCCTCCCTCCCCCCAACCCTTTAACTTGACGTACGGCAGCCGACTTCATCAGATCCATCCGCACAGTCCCGGTCAATATCGCACTTCCAATCGTCCTGTACACATCCGCCATCGTTACACTGGAAGTGGAGGGGAGGGCAGGTGACTGAAAGAAATAAAAACAACGGTTACATTCAAATTATATTTTAAAACGAGAGCATTTATATTCAGCCTAACTTCCAGAAATTTTTCTGAGGGGTCACTTGGAACGACACTAGTGAAAGTGTGTTGGATGAAAACCGCTTGTGTTAGAACTCCCTTAACACCCTGCCTCTTGTATGTGCCCCACCGCTTGTGTTAGAACTCCCTTAACACCCTGCTTCTTGTATGTGCCCCACCGCTTGTGTTAGAACTCCCCTAACACCCTGCCTCTTGTATGTGCCCCACCGCTTGTGTTAGAACTCCCTTAACACCCTGCTTCTTGTATGTGCCCCACCGCTTGTGTTAGAACTCCCTTAACACCCTGCTTCTTGTATGTGCCCCACCGCTTGTGTTAGAACTCCCCTAACACCCTGCCTCTTGTATGTGCCCCACCGCTTGTGTTAGAACTCCCTTAACACCCTGCCTCTTGTATGTGCCCCACCGCTTGTGTTAGAACTCCCTTAACACCCTGCTTCTTGTATGTGCCCCACCACTTGTGTTAGAACTCCCCTAACACCCTGCCTCTTGTATGTGCCCCACCGCTTGTGTTAGAACTCCCTTAACACCCTGCTTCTTGTATGTGCCCCACCGCTTGTGTTAGAACTCCCTTAACACCCTGCTTCTTGTATGTGCCCCACCGCTTGTGTTAGAACTCCCCTAACACCCTGCCTCTTGTATGTGCCCCACCGCTTGTGTTAGAACTCCCTTAACACCCTGCTTCTTGTATGTGCCCCACCGCTTGTGTTAGAACTCCCCTAACACCCTGCCTCTTGTATGTGCCCCACCGCTTGTGTTAGAACTCCCTTAACACCTTGCTTCTTGTATGTGCCCCACCGCTTGTGTTAGAACTCCCTTAACACCTTGCTTCTTGTATGTGCCCCACCGCTTGTGTTAGAACTCCCTTAACACCCTGCTTCTTGTATGTGCCCCACCACTTGTGTTAGAACTCCCTTAACACCCTGCTTCTTGTATGTGCCCCACCGCTTGTGTTAGAACTCCCTTAACACCCTGCTTCTTGTATGTGCCCCACCGCTTGTGTTAGAACTCCCTTAACACCCTGCTTCTTGTATGTGCCCCACCGCTTGTGTTAGAACTCCCTTAACACCCTGCTTCTTGTATGTGCCCCACCGCTTGTGTTAGAACTCCCCTAACACCCTGCTTCTTGTATGTGCCCCACCGCTTGTGTTAGAACTCCCTTAACACCCTGCTTCTTGTATGTGCCCCACCGCTTGTGTTAGAACTCCCTTAACACCCTGCTTCTTGTATGTGCCCCACCGCTTGTGTTAGAACTCCCTTAACACCCTGCTTCTTGTATGTGCCCCACCGCTTGTGTTAGAACTCCCTTAACACCCTGCTTCTTGTATGTGCCCCACCACTTGTGTTAGAACTCCCTTAACACCCTGCTTCTTGTATGTGCCCCACCGCTTGTGTTAGAACTCCCTTAACACCTTGCTTCTTGTATGTGCCCCACCGCTTGTGTTAGAACTCCCTTAACACCCTGCTTCTTGTATGTGCCCCACCACTTGTGTTAGAACTCCCTTAACACCCTGCTTCTTGTATGTGCCCCACCGCTTGTGTTAGAACTCCCTTAACACCTTGCTTCTTGTATGTGCCCCACCGCTTGTGTTAGAACTCCCTTAACACCCTGCTTCTTGTATGTGCCCCACCGCTTGTGTTAGAACTCCCTTAACACCCTGCTTCTTGTATGTGCCCCACCGCTTGTGTTAGAACTCCCCTAACACCCTGCTACTTGTATGTGCCCCCCCCCCTTATATGTCAGTCAGAACTCCCCTAACTTACCCTGCCTCCTGTATGTGCCTCCCTCAAAATGCAGTGTTTCTTCCAGACTTTTTTCTCCGGGGGGCACTTAAAATTTTTTTGGGGGTGGGGGGCGGTCAACATTTTTCGGGGGGGGGGGGGGCGTATACTAGTAAAAGTGTATGTTTGCTATATAAAATCCATCTCGTTCGGGGGGCGGGGGGGGGGGGCGGGGGCGGTAGACTTTCTTCGGAAGGGGGGGGGTGGGCGGCTCAGCCCCCCCTCCCCCCGAAGGGATGCCTAGAAGAAACTCTGTTCAAATGTCAGAATTCCCCTCACTTACCCTGCCTCTTGTATGTGCCGTCCTTGCTTACTCTCGCTGCCATCATCGACTTTTTGATTAAAGCCTTTTTCTCAGTCCTCTTGCCGCTTGATGCTAAAAAAAATGTTTAACTCATAAAATCATTTTCTCACAATTAATACTCCTCATCCAACCACAATTTTAGCAATTTTTTTCACTTAAGTTTATTTGATTGAAAAATAAACCCTTTAACAAGAAAATAATTCATGATATTTCGGCTTCATTATTTAAAGGTTCTATATCATGTTTGTCTAATAATGATTCATATCGATTTAATCGTGTAAGTTTTTGTTCTTACGGCAGTTGGACTCGTCCCAGCCATTTCCACAGTCGTTGTCCCCGTCACATATCCAGGACTCTTCTATACAGATATTGTTGCTGCACTTGACCTCTCCAAGTGTGCACTCTGTATGTTCTAGAAGGTGAGTACACGGGTGTAAGGTGAGTATAAAGGTGTAATAGGAGGACACAGGTGTAAAGGGAGGCAGTGGCGTAGCGAGGTCGGGTGTCACCCGGTGCGGCACTTAAAGGTGTCACGCCCCAGAATTGCACCCCCCATCAAACTTTCGATTTGCACCCCCCATCAAACTTTCGATTTGCACCCCCCCCCCCCCTCAAACTTTCAATTTGCACCCCCCATCAAGTTTTTCTCTATATATATTGCTATTTTTTGCCTTGGTGTCACCCCCCTAAATGTAAGATGATTACACAGGTGTAAAGTAAGTACACAGGTGTAAGGGGAGGACACAAGTGTAAGGTGATGACACAGGTGTAAGGTAAATACACAGGTGGGTATACAGGTGTGATGTGATTACACAGGGGTAAGTTGATTAAACATGTGTAAGGTGGTTACATATGCGTAATGTGACTACACATGTGTGATATGATAACATAGGTGTAATTTAAAAATACAGGGATAAAGTGAGTAAACATGTGTAAGAATTTTACACAGGTGCAAATTTGGCACACAGCTGCCAGGAGATACCCAGGTGTAAGTTGTGTACACAGGCTTAAAGAGACTACACAGATAAATAAATGTTACACCCATGAAAGAGGATTTACACATGAGTCAGTTTTAAGGCTTCAAGCCGAGAGAATTTATCAATTTATCAACTTCAATCAGATTACACAGACTCGCATATAAACCTAACTACATACTATGTGAAGTAATGTATCTTTTCGAACCTGCGGTCTATCTGGCTAGTGAAGTAGAGTTCACCTTTTTTGTGACGGCGGTATATGAAGGGCTAGTGTTGTCAGTACCTTGCCCAGCCGCCTTTACTTTCCTGTCAAATACCCATCTGAGCTTGGTGGACACAGGACGTCCAAAGGACTAGAGCCCTGATTCGAACTCGAGACTTCCAGGTTCGCAGTTGAAAGCTCTACCATTTGACCACAACGTCAAATCCTCTCGAAATGTAACCAAAAGGACACAGAATTAGAGTGGCCCAGAACCCCTCCACGAGTTTGAAGTTTTATTTTTACCTCAAGGTGATTTGGTCAAAACTTTTATTTCCGTACATTCTTGCTGTAACTACCCGAACACAGAACAACGCAAATGGTCATCAAATTAGCTTACATGTTTTAAAAATAAGGACCTACCACAATCAGTTTCATCAGTACCGTCCCCACAATCATTGTCCCCATCGCACAGATACTCTCTGGAAATACACCGGCCGTTATTACATTTCAGCTGGTGCTCACCAGTACAGTCCGTTTCTGGTAAAGTTGAAAAAAAAAAATATCATTGTACTTTAAAGCAGAAACGTTGAATAAAACAACACAATTTATTTTGTTTCACGTGAAATTTAAAAAAAAAATATTTTGTTTGGACCCAAGAACATTGTAATTAAAAAGAAGATTTCATATAAAAGAAAGCAGCTACGAAAGATTTTTCTAACATAGAATGGCAGCAGAGAATTATGAAAATTGAAAAATCAACTGTGATGCCCCAATGACCCCAGAGGTTAAGTGACGATTGATTGATTGAGATATGAAAGAGACTGGAGGCAATAAAAAAGAAGTAAAAAGTAATTGTGACTCCCCTTTTCATCAGAATTATCATCTACGATTTACGTACTCTCTAGAGGTACCAGGTGCAAAGCCAACGTGAGCACTTACCACAGTTCTGCTGCTCATCTGACCCGTCTGAGCAGTCTACCTCAGTATCACAGACCCAGTCTATCTGGACACAAATACCGTTGGTGCATCTGAACTCTCCATCCTTACAACTAGCTGCAACAGGGATTTAGGGAACTATTAGAGTTGTGTAGACGCATATGAACAGAGTTGTGTAGATACTTAGAGAACAAGGATTTAAGGAAATATTAGAGTTGTTTGTCACACGAGAATATATACCTTAGATAGAAATACAGAGAAACAACAAAGTGTCGTGGACTCAACATTGTAAGGAACCACTTTCAAAATAATGTACACATTGTCATACACATACATAAGACTCGTTGGTTATGTTAATGTTAAAGATGACGTAACTGGTTCGTAACACGCATTTCTTTGTAAAATTCGTAAGCCATTTAATAATTAATTTTCGTGTTTTAAAAAATAATAATTAAAATATAAGCCTGCACATCAATATAAAAATACAATACTTAAAAAAAAATATAAGTTCAAAAGGTCGTCTTTTTCCTAAGAAACAACGTAAATGGACTATTTTTCAAAATACACTCGTTTATGTGATTTAGTTTTAATTTTGATTTAAAAAAGGGTCCTTACTCTGTCGTTTGTAGATGTCAGCATAGCTGTTTCCTTTAGCCATCTTAGACTTTTTAACGGCAGGCTTCTCGTCACTCCTCTTGCCACTGGCAGCTAAAAATAGTTTAAAACGTACAGTCCTCGATTTATTCACAATTAACATTTTTCTTAATTATCTGCATTACTATTTATTCATTTATATTTCTTCACTAGTGTAACTGGATAGAAAATAACCTTCTTTAAAAAAAACGTGTAAAGAAAATTACAGAATACTAATATTATTTAAAAAAAATATTTATAGGCCTACCTTGTTATACCTTTATTGTAAAATATATTTAAGAATAGTAAAAAGATAATACTAATTTATTTTGATTAACTGAAGGACTAATGGGGAAAAATAAAGTGAATTATTTTTTGTGTGTAAGTTTTTGTCCTTACGGCAGTTGGACTCGTCCCAGCCATTTCCACAGTCGTTGTCCCCGTCACATATCCAGGACTCTTCTATACAGATATTGTTGCTGCACTTGACCTCTCCAAGTGTGCACTCTGTGTGTTCTAGAAGGTGAGTACACAGGTAATAGACGTGTACAGGTTAATGTCAGTACACAGGTGTAATGGGAGGACACAAATGTAAGGGGATGACAAATGTGTAAGGGGAGGACACAGGTGTAAGGGGAGGACACAAGTGTAATGTGAGTACACAGGTGTAAGGTGAGTACACAGGTGTCATGTGAGTACACAAGTGTAAGGTGATTACACATGTGTTACGTAGATACAAAGGTGTAATGTTAGTACACAGGCGTAAAGTGAGTACAATTGTGTAATCGGAGTACACTTGTATTAAGTGATTACACAGGTTAGGTGAGTACACATGAGTAAGTTGAATATACACATGTAAGGTGGTTACACATGTGTAATGTGATTACATATAAGGGGCGACTCAAATGTAAGATAAATACTTAGGTGTGCAGTAAGTATATCGGTGTAATGTGATTACACAGGTGTAAGGTGAATACACAAAGGTGTAAAGCCCGCGTACACTGGTGAGGCTCAGTAAGTAAACAGGTGTAAGGTAATTACACAAGTCTTTTGTAAGATCATAGATGCAAGTTATGTAAACAGATTTAAGGTAAGCGTACACAGGTGTAAGGTAAGTACACAAGTCTTTTGTAAGATCATAGATGCAAGTTATGTAAATAGATTTAAGGTAAGCGTACACAGGTGTAAAATCCATATACACATGTGTTAGGTAAGTGTAAGGTAGCGCATTAGGTTATGTCAAGTTTTTATCACAAGCGATTTACGTTGTTTTTAAACCACATTACAACACGAAGAATACCCTGTTTTTCTCAATGCAGTTTTCTGTAGTGCTTTTACACGAAAAGGACCTACCACAATCATTTTCATCAGTCCCATCTCCACAATCATTGTCCCCATCACACAGATACTCTCTGGTAATACACCGGCCGTTATTACATTTCAGCTGGTGCTCACCAGTACAGTCCGTTTCTGAAAAAGGAAAATTGTGATCTTGATAATACACTGTGGCTCTTGACATTTTTGGAGGTACCAAAGCAACGATGAATAGTTCTATCGTCCGCGTTGACAAAATCTAATTATGAACCACATGAATAGAGTGTGTGTCCTGAACTCCTCCGAACCCCTGAGATTGAATCACCGACCTCATGGGGTTCCATCGAACCCAGGTTAAGAAACACTGTGCCAGCATCACTATTTCAATCTTGTATTTGAACAGACTATTTCAGTGTATAAATATTGAATGAAATATAACATTTTCTGTTTCCATGTGGAAATATAAAAACAAATGTTGTTTAGACTCAATGTTTTTGTCAATACACGTCAACTTATAAGAATAAAAATGTGTTAGTCAGTATACGTTAAACATAACATGCTTGTTTTATTTTATGGCTTTGAGATGGGATGGATATTGTATGCAATACAATTAAAAGGTAACTGGTTATATTTCTCTCTTTTTCAGCAATAACGTCACCTTCGATAGCGATGATACTGTGCAGTCTAATGTGAAGAAGTTCAAAGCCAACGTGAGCACTTACCACAGTTCTGTTGCTCGTCTGATCCGTCTCCACAGTCTACGTCAGTATCACAGACCCAGTCTATCTGGATACAAACACCGTTGGTGCACCTGAACTCTCCTTCCTTACAGCTAGCTGTAACAGGGATTTGGGGAAATATTAGAGTTGTGTTGACACATAATGAACAGAGTTGTATAGAAACACAGAGAACAAGAATCGTATCTGTAGAGTTGTGTAGAGATAGAGAACAAGGATTTAGGAAAATATTAGAGTTGTTTAGTCACATATGAAGAAAGTTGTATAGAGGCATAGAGAACAAGAATTTCGTAAACACAAGAATTTTAACTGTAGAGCTGCATAGAGACATCAGGTGTGGGGTTGGGGGTTGGGGGGGGGGGAGACGTCATTTAAGATATATTGACACACATATAGGGAAAATTGAGCGTTATAAGGACCCTCCTTATATTTTCAAACATAATCTTGTTTTTTTCTCTCTTTTTAGATTTATTATTGCTATTTTTGTATTATTCAGTGTAATAAAAGTCACATTCAAACAAATTATTAAATGTTACATCTTCCCCAAGTTTTAAAAAATCTAGTCAATGCATGAATATAACTTACTTTGTCTTGTAAAAATACCAGGTACACTTTTCTTCTTGGCACCGACTAATGCCACTAGAACCAAACAGGAGAGGAGTCGAAGTTTTGAGGAAAACATTTTTTTTTAAACAGACCAAATCACACACTTGGTCTTTATATCGACTTGATTGTGTTCGCCTAGGACGAAAAACTGACACCTGTTTCTGTGAGATCGAGCAAAATAACTGATAAGGCTAGAGTTTTGATTAAAAGTTGGTTAAAAAAAATGTGATGTGCAGATTTTAAGGAGTGCTGAATGTTTAAAATAATGGGACTATGTACATGCTTTGTACGTGAGATTTAAAAAGATCCAATTTTTTTTGGAACAGTAGTACTAGACATAAAGTCTCGGGAGGCATTTGATGGCTAAATCCGAATGCTCCGAGTTCGTACCCCGGATAGATGACACCTGTAAGCGTGGGACAGCTTCGTATCTAGGATGGAAAATTCCAAAATCAAACAACTGCTGCCTTATATATTCTTTTAAGGTGGACAAAAGTTATAGAAGCAAACCCAAAAAGAAAAATCTTTCTGAATGAGTCATGGGGCTAAAATATCTTGACATGGAATACTAATTGTGTTGGAGGATATTCCCTTCAAAGGTACAATTAACAACGAAGAGGCTGAATACAAATTGTAATTTCAAAGCCATGTGTAAAGAAAGGTACAGAACAGCCGGATGAGAACCCAGTTCATATCACGTTGAAAGCAATGCCGAATAAAGTAGACGCAATATAAGTTTCAATAACCCAATAGAGACGTGAGCATCATCAGAGAAGTGAGTTCGTGAAATCCGAGAATGTGAGACATGAGATAATCTAGAGGACTGTGTGGTTGGGTAGTAGAGTGTATGATCGTTAGCTCCAAAAGTTCCGATTTCTTAACAGATGAGGTTGGTGAGATGAGGAAATCAACCCATCCCGGAGTGAAGAATCAAACTCAAACATATGCTGATTCCAGATTGTACATAGGTGGACACCCGCTATGGAAATCAGAAATTGAAAGAGAAATTCCGGAAAACAAGTTAATTAAAAAGTCTAGTGACATTTAAGCGCAATTTCCTTATGTTATCTAAAAATAGCTCTGTCGTAGCGTAAATCAAGAGCAGGGTTAATAAAACCATTGGTTAGTTATTAAAACGTTTTTTATTAATTTTTTTTTCATTATTTTACATGTTTTATTTACAATAGAGTTACATGACTAAAAACCATTGCGCGCCTAGCTACCGAACGTGATGTCGCAGCCACTGAACGTGATGGCGCAGCTATTGAACGTGATGACGCGTGTGGTGTGGTTGGATAAAAATGCCTACTAATTCGGTCCAAATTTTAATTAATTCAAAAAATTTTTTGTGACCGAACGAAAGGATATTTTTGAAAACTTTCTTCGGCAATATTGTTCTAAATTATGACAGGAATCGATTGGTACATGTTTCAAGTCGCTAAGTGGTCTGGTTGCCGAGATATGGGCCAAAAACTGCATTTTTTCGAGGTTTTTTGGCTTTTCCAGGAAATCCATGAAAGAAACCCGGAATTTTTTTGGCCTATGTTCATCCTCGTAACTTGCTTAACATAATTGCTTTGGAACTAGTCCTCGATATTGCTTCGTTGAGGAGGAGATACGACTTAAAGCTGCGGACACACATACATCCATTCATTCATTCATCCATCCATTCCCAGAAATGACGAGTTAATAAACGCAATTCTCCAGAATGGAAATTGCGCTAAAAAGTATCAAAGGAATTAGTTTATCGGTTTTTGAAAAAAAAAAAAGATTTAAAAAGCGGCTTGCATTAACTTAACAAATATTCGAACATTTAATTAATGTAATTTAATCAGAAACCAAATATTGCCAAGGGGTCTTGACTAAGTGTCAAAGTTTAAAATAATTCAGTTCATTAAAAGTGGTTGAAATTTTCCGCGCAATTTTCAACCTATGACGGACGTCAGACACAAACCAACAGACAGAGAATCAAAGCAAATGATCTTGTACAAATGATTATTTTTTAAATAAAATCAAATTCAAGATAGGACAAAGTATAATCAATTTACAAAATAAGAGTGGGTATGAATAGCAGTATTTATTCACTAACGGGGTTGCCACAATCTTCTCTATACTGGTACCATACACTAGATGATCAAGTCAGCTGAGAGCAGTATAACTTGACTTGACCTCACAAACATCGATTTAGGTCAGCTTTCAGCAGAAGAACATGCTTGACTAGACCTCATAAAATCGACTTAGGTCTAAAGTTTCACCGCTTATCTTTGTGTGGATGACCTCCCTTAAACTGTAATCTTATATTTAAAATTAGAACTGTGCGGTTTGCATTTTAAGCAAGTTCATTTATCTTTAAGATCTAATAGTTTGGTTTTGTCCCTCTGATAGCCGCCAAAATGCGCATTGTACCAAAAGCTAGTTATTTTTAAAAAATTGTATTTAAAAAATATTTTGCAAAAATTTTGTTCAATAAAAAACGAATTTTACTTATGAGAATCTAGATATTGCTTTTAAACTTTGTTGAAAAACTGTCGTTGCAAGCAGAGTACGATAAAAAGTCTATAACTTCACATCTTTGCACAAAAGAAAGCTACGAAAGAGTCTTAATAACACTGTAAATTGCATTGTTTAAAAATTACACAATTTTTGGTAACAAATTCTTTGAATATAAAAGAGAAAAAAAATTCGGTAACAAATTCCTTGAATATGTAAGAAAACAATATTCAGTAACAAATTCTTTGAATATAAAGAAAATCAATGCAATTATATGAGCCAATTCGTTCGGATTTTGTAATAAAGTTTAACAAAACAGAGTTCACTCCCTTGTTTTAGACTGCTGGTAGATTTTAGACTGCTGGTAGATTTTAGACTGCTGGTAGATTTTAGACTGCTGGCTGACTGTAAACTTTGATAAGATCTGCCCGTGTCCGCTAGAGACAAGGAAACCACCATATGCAACCATGGGAGCCTTTCAGCTAAGTTTTGTCTTCCTAGCCCTGGTGCTTGCCAGTAGCTGCACTCAGGTGAACAAGAAATATCTCAAGAAGAACTCACATCTTCACGCTAAGGGTGTTCCCTACAGCAGTTTCTATAAAAAACAAGGTATTCTTTTTTTAAAAGAAGTAATGTACCGGTTTTAATGTTTGAATAATAATAAGTAATTAAAAATTGAGTTTCCAGAATGCCTATAGTGCAGGTAAAGTAGAGTCTATCTGTTTATTTAATTCGTCTTATGAAAATGTTTTCTTATGCACTCCGAGCAATTTAAGTAAGTAAAGTAAAGTTCTCTTTCAAACCTGACAGTCTGTAGGGCATGTAAAATAGACTACACTTGTTTCTGTGACCTCGGCATATGAAGAGATAGTGTGGTCAGCACTATGCCCAGCCGCATTTACTTTCCCCAACGTGAGTTAGGTACCCATCAGAGTTGGGTGGACTCAGGGACGGTCTACTGAATGAACCCAATTTCGAACTCGAGTTCGCAGTCCAGCTCTCCGAGAAATTTAGATGAAATAATTTATTCAGTCAATGGATATATTGGACCCTAGGCAAACTCGAGATCTTTCGAAGATTTACATGGTGAATAGATAATTATATATTTAATCCAACACACATGTCCAGCCTAAACCCCTTCCCTAATCGCAAGACCTAAGGTTATAGTTAACACCGTATTTTATCACAATCTAAATCTCCAAGTTATATTATAGGTTAGTTGATATAAATATAAATAGGAACCGTTGTGATACTCTGCCAGCGTTGTATAACCTTTAAATTTAACCCTCTAAAAGCGGTGTGTGACCCTTATATTTAACCCCCTAACAGCTGTGCGCGACATTAATTTGTAACCCTCTAGCAGCAGTGTATGACCTTTAAATTTAACCCTCTAACGGCGGTGTGTTGCCTTTATATTTAAGTCTCTATCAGCTGTGTGCGATGTTAATTTATAACCCTCTAACAGCGGTGTATGACCTTTATATTAACCCTCTAACAGCGGCGTATGACCTTTATATTAACCCTCTAACAGCGGCGTATGACCTTTATATTAACCCTCTAACAGCGGCGTATGACCTTTATATTAACCCTCTAACAGCCGTTTATGACCTTAACATTTAACCCTCTTACAGCGGTGTGTGACCTTTACCTTTAACCCTCTAACAGCGGTGTGTGACCTTTATATTAACCCTCCAACAGCGGTGTGTGACCTTTATATTAACCCTCTAACAGCGGTGTGTGACCATTATATTAACCCTTTAACAGCGTTGGATAATCTTAACATTTAACCTTCTAACAGCGGTGTATGAACTTTACATTTAACCCTCTAACAGCGGTGTGTGACCTTTATATTAACCCTCTAACAGCCGTTTATGACCTTAACATTTAACCCTCTAACATCTATGTGTAACCTTAACATTTAACCCTCTAACAGCGGTGTGTGACCTTTATATTTACCCCCCTAACAGCGGTGTGTGACGTCGAACAGTTCCACTGCCATGATGGTGGCTGTATCAACGGCCTGTGGGAGTGCGACATGGACAAAGATTGTGAGGACGGGTCGGATGAGCTCAATTGTCGTGAGTTTTTTTTGGTGCTATGGCGTCCTTGGTTACCATAGTTTCCATGTATCGCTCCCAGTACATCTTAAAACCCAGTAACATCTTAATAATAAAAAAAAGGTTACAAAAAGGTTTTGCCATGAAAAAAACCCCTAGTGCCCTTTAATAAAAATAAGTTTTTGAATTACAGTAGCAGTTTTCTAACCAGAACTCTATTTAAAGTTGTGTTTGTTTCTTTGAAAGGGGGAGGTAAATATTATTCACGACAGTAGAATTGTTGAATATGAGCATCATTTACAACATATAAAATTTGAGACAGCACGAAATAAAAAAATCTTAAATTATAATTTTAATTGTATGATAAAATATTCAATGTAAATATCCATTGTTAGTTTTTGTATTTTTAATGTATTTATTGTAAATATCCATTCATTGTTTCGTACTTTCTAAAATATATTTAATGTAGTTATCCTTTAGCAGTTTCGTATTTGTAATGTATTTAATGTAAGGATCCATTATCAGTTTCAAATTTTTAATAAAATAGTAAGTACAACAAAGAAATCAACTATAGCCCAACACAGGTAAGTCCCGAATCATATAAAAAAGTTCCACTAAACATACAAGTTCTACGAATCCCAACTTTCCCCAGCTACCGACTGTACCGGAGAGCACCAGTTGCAGTGCCACAACGGCTACTGTCTGGCCGGCTACTTCCACTGTGACGGCTACGACGACTGTGGCGACAACAGCGACGAGTTGGACTGCCGTGAGTATGGCTGGACGTGTGGTTTGGTGAAACAGTTCACAGTTTCAATAAGTCGGTTTCATTTCCGGGATATGAAGCGCGTAATCTCCACGTAATCGTACCTCATTTCCGGGATGTTAAAATGCTGATTCTACTTCACTTCAGAAATGCCTCTCGTGTTCTCAATCCTAAGTCATTTCCGTGATATATAACGTGATCTCTATCCAAATTCACTTCCGGTTGTGTATCATGATTTCCCTCAAAATTGTGGAGTGGGTAGAGTTGCTTCAAGTATAGTGTTTCTTTCAGGGATATTTCTCCGAGGAGTGCAGGGTGGGCTCTTAAAACTTTCGGGGTGTGGAGCGGAGTTACATTTCCGGGGTGGGGGTGGGGGATATATTTTCTATTTACATTTTTTTTTAAATTGTTGGGGGGAGGGGTAGTTGACGTGCTTTGGTTTGAGGGTGGTGGAGTGGGAGGTGAGCCACTATCCCCCCGAAGAGATGCCTAAAAAAACACCCATTCTGATCACGTACTATTGTTTCATTATTGCCAGTATGGGAAGAAAACACTTTGACTTGTTATACAGTAACGTTAAGTTACCAATAGGGCTGGTAAGTAGGTCACCAACCAGTTCTATGGCTTATGCAGGTTTTATCGAGCCGTTGAACTGGTTGGTGATCTATTTACCAGCCCTATTGGGTTAGCACATCCTTCACGCACATTTCACACAATATATACACTTCAGTTTATTGCTAAAGTAAGTGAGCGATAGCAAAATCAAGCAAAAAAAAACAAACAAACAACTTTGTTAGTCGCTCACCATTCACTTCCATAGGCCAGATATTCTACTGACATAAAAAGTTCAATTTAAATCTAAAATATCATATTGTATTTTATGTTATAGAATGTAATAATAGTAGGACATATATTTGATTTGATTTAAATAAATCAAGGTGTTGTTCCATTTGTTTAATTTCTAAGAAATACAATACGTATTCTACGTCACATTTTCTTAAATTCCTTTTCCTCATGTGGCTCCTAATCTAACACTTCAGAAACTCCACCCCCCGGTGTCATTGACATTAAAATTCGAATGAATTATTTTTGTAATTAAACAAAGCACATGTAAGTTATTATTCTGACTCACCAGTAACCTAATCTCTCACATTGTTTAAAAAAAGTTAAATACACGACGTGCATTCAGTTATTCTAACTCCCCCTTAACCGACTCCACAGATCTCATCCAATGCGAGGAGGGTCAGGTCAAGTGCCCCAACCACAGGTGCATCCAGCTCTCCTGGGTCTGTGACGGTGCCAACGACTGTGGTGATGGATGGGATGAGAGCAACTGCAGTAAGTCAAAGTTGTTCCAGAGTTTTCTCACTACCCAAAGTGGAATTCTATGTTCAATTTAATGCAGTTTATAAAAATTTTTAAAAAAAAATCCAAGTTTAGTTTAAGCAATATGCCTTTGAACATATTTTAAGAAGGTATTGAAACATATACCAATCTGCATGGTTGGATAACAGTTTAAAGCTGAGAAAGTTGGAGAATAGGGTTTTTATGTAAAGAAATTGATACCATGTTATTACGCTAAATTATTCACACAGGGTTGTATTGAATCTAGGGTTAGAGAGATGATTAGCACTAGGCTAGGGTTGGGTGTAAGTATAATGGCTAAAGTTTTAGGGCTAAGCTTAGAAAAATAAAGTACAATTTCGAACCTTCCGATACATTGGAGCAGGTTAAATTTTACTAAGGGACGTCCTACAGACTCGAGGTCGGGACACAAACTCTACGTCAAACTCTAATGGCTCCACTTATAAAAGGTTTAATATTGTTTTCGTATTAAAACTGGACGATTGTCATGAAATAATTTGTTGTCCACTTCTAGCGTCAGGCTGCAACTTCTACCAGTTTGAGTGTGCTGACCAGTCCAGGTGTATCCCCCTCTCCTGGCAGTGTGACGGTGGGGCGGACTGTCCTGACGAGAGTGATGAGAGGAACTGTGGTAGGTCGACGTGGTCACTGACCCGTGACGTAGTTGTTGTGACGTCATAACGGTGTCTCTTCTGTCCGGTGTTAAGTCAGTCGATTTTATGTCGTGCAATTGCTGTCTTTTAGTTTGTTCTTAGAAGGGCAAAATAAAAGCAGGCTGAAATCGAAGGCAACGGCCTATATGGCGCAAAACCAGTTGACATGTAATACTGAATTGTGTTGGAAGGAATCTCTTCCAACACTAGAATTTTTAAGGACGAAGAAGAAGAAAGCTAGTGGTGCAAAATGGTCGTCTGATCTGTGTTGTGTTAGTGGTCCATTATCGCAGGTAGGTTTAAAGGCTGGCCCATTAATAAGATCAAGAAAAATTCGTTGTCACCAAAACTGAAACCTCTACTAATTTACGTAACAAAATACAACTCTCCCCTTAAATATCCATAGTTACCGACACACCCCTTCCCCCTCCCCCACCCCCTTATTTTTATATGAATCACGGAGTTAGAATAGTCAAACCCCTCTTTTTTGTAAGTGAACCAAAAAATAAAATAAGATAAATAAACGGAAATAAAACAAGAATGGCCAATTTAAGGATTACACACAGTAGGTGATTATACCTCCTGTTAAATACACTGTCAATAACACCTCCCCCACCCCAACTCGAAGTCAGTTTACCTATTCTTGCTATATTCGACTGTCTTAAAATTCAACATAATTTGTTGGATAACACTAACATTGATGCTGAAAATCAGATTTTTTAACCTTGACCCATCTAGTCTGTGACCCAGTGACCCAGTGGCAGTGTGACACGGGTCGCTGCATCAACATCAACTGGAGATGTGACCACGACAACGACTGCGGGGATCTCTCTGACGAGCTCGGATGTCGTAAGTTCGATTCCATGTCACGCCAATATAGTTTTACTTGCCGCTTGCATAGTAGTTAGAAGTTTTTTTTAGTTGGTACTTCCTAATCATTTAAATGCTAATCAGCTACTAATTGCATAGTGTAGACAAGTTTTGCATTTGATACTGGCAGCGTTTACACACATTTTTAGATCTTTCTGCAGCCGTACAATGAGGTTTCACTAGCACTAAAATCGGAATACAGTTACAAGAAATGTCTTCAAGTGGTTTTGGGGCGCGCGCATCTAAATTTCTGCGCTTTTTCAAATCTTTTAAAAAGACGCCAAAATGCACCGTCAACTTTAAAAATAAAAAAAAAATGTTTCCGTACTTATTTAATATTTTACTTACCATATCGGTAATATGCAGCTTAAATATCTGATTTTTCTTATACTTAACAGTTTTTGTGAACTAATTCAAAAACAGTCATATATTTTATTTGCTGTGAGATAGTGGAAATAAAAAAAAGTAACGTATTTAAATATGAAACAATTTACTTAATTATTGTTTAATTATTATTTTCCTAGCCACGCTTCACCCCAGTATATGCAGTGACCTGCTTTCCATGCGCGCATGCGCTTTGATGAACGAGACAACCCACCCGATATGTCTGACCTACGATGACGGCCACAAGTACTGCCGGAAGTACTGCGATCTGTGTCAAGATGACGTCACCACGCACACCATGAAGCTTTAAATAAATTAACGCTAAAATTCCTCGTTGATCGAGAAAGAACTGAAATAAGTTGTTTTGAAAATGTTCTAGCAAAAAACACTAATTATCAAAAAATATATCGCTTTTTATTTGGGTGTATTTTACGTTTAACTTACCTAGTGAGGTCGGACGGTAACGCACACAACTACTAACGCGAAAGTCTCGAGTTTGGATCCAGGACTCGAGTCTGTAGCACGTCATTGATTTAAACCAGCTCTAATGGGTACTTGGCCCACATTAGGGAATATAACAGTGCCGTTGTCACAGAAACATCTAATTCATCAGCCTTGACTTGTACTTGACCCACGTTAGGGAATATAAAAGTAAGGCATATACGTGACCACACTATCCCTTCACGTGGTACTTGACTCACGTTTTGGAATATAACAGTTGGGCATATAACTGACCACTCTATCACCGTATATGCCGTGGTTACAGAAACATCTACTTCACCAGCCCTGCTCATCGCCAGGTCTGAAAGAGAAACTCAACTCTTTTTTATCTAGTTTGAAAAAAAGTATCCTGGGAAATGGCCTATGTTTATTTTGTTCCGGTCGACACGACGGGTAAATTAGTGTTCTTCTAGAACCGCGCATGACCGAATCTCATATTTTTAAAGTGTGTAACACCAAAACGGCGGAGTCTTCTCGAAGAGCTGAAGACAGCAAGGATGTCTTAGGAGATTGCAAAGTTAACAGCCGGGGACCAGACAAAATGGAAGGGTATGGTTGAGGCCCCAAGTCATGAAAGTCAACACCCAAACGAGGAGGATCAAGATTCGGGACTTCCTGAACACTTTATTCTGGCAATGTTCTGACAAGCTAAAGACGGCCAAGAAAAGATTAAAACCCCGGGGTAAAGTTTTAATCGTTGAATTAAGACATGGATTTAGTCATTCATGTAAGCACTGTAAGTCAACAGGTCAAGAAATGATAGGGGCATTATTGTAAGCTCTGTAAGTCAAGTGGTCATGTAAGACTCTAAAGTTAACTGGTCAAGAAATGGTAATAAACACAGTTGAAGTCACGTGATTTTGTAATACCAGAAGTAAATAACGTCTTTACGAGTATAAGAGACCACCCACCACGTATAGTCCATATTGATGAATCATGTTCTGAAATGGAGAACAAATTAACCATATCTTTGATTGGAAGATAACTGATGTAAAGATACAAACAAATGGTTTTTTGAATTCACTAGCTTGGTTAGCAAACGTTTAATGGAAGCGACATCTGTGTGCACTTTTCATGTAGATGAGTCCAAGGTTTTGTTATTTTTCTAATATATACATACAAATTCTGTTTATGATTTAACGAAAAAGCTAAATTTTAATTGTATAAGATTTAGTGAATTACAAATTACACATACTTTGGCATTTAGGAGTACTGCGTTCGAGAAATCGTTAAAACAAGCTTTGGACATTCGACATTTGGGCTAACTTCTCTTTCTACTTTTATTGTGGTGTAGGGTACCCCATGTGGACAGGATTATATAGACCAAAGGGATTGTGGGGGGGCGGGGGGCAAAATCTGACATAAATATGTGTAAAATGGTGATTTATTAAATGGGGACAGGATTTGTAAACCAAAGGGATTTGTAAAAATAAAGTTACTTTTCGAACCTGACGGTTCATGGGTCAAGTGAAGTAGAGTTCACCTGCTCTGTGCTCTCGAAGGGATAGTGTGGGTAGCACTATACCACCCAGCCGCCATTACTCCCCTAACGTGAGTTAGGTACCCATCAGAGCTGGGTGGGCACAGGAAAGCTCTACTTACTTGAACCCGGATTCAAACTCAAGATTTTCGGGTTAGCAGTCTAGCGCTCTACCATAGGCCACGCCGTCCCATAATTGATTAGTAGAGGAACAAAAACTGACATGAATATTTGTAAATTGATAATTTGTGTAATGGAGACAGGATTTTATTCGCCAAAGCTGCGTGTAAAAGAAAAAAAAGAAAGACACTAATGAATGCAGTAATTCGTTAAATGTGGCTGGATTTTTTTTTCTAATGAATTAATGAACAAAATGAGAAACGAAAAAAATAATATCAATCAAGTCATAGGTCGAAATCTGGTCAAGACTTCTGTTTTTTCTAGATAAAAATATATCGATAAGTTAAAAAAAATAGCTCCCATATGTGAAAGACGTTATTTTATAACATTTTAATTAACACAGTTCGGATGATGCTAATAGAAGATAACAAGGAAAAGCCTAAGATAAGATAAAAACAGATGTTGTTTCACAACTTTTGTCGTCATACAACATTTGTATCTGAACTGTTTTTTTTCCTAAGCCTGTCTTAATAATTTTATTTCAGCCAGCTGGTTAAAAATAAAGGGAAAAATTTTCAGATACCTCATTAAAAATAAATCAATAACCAGAATCACTTTTGTAGAATAGGCTGATTTAAAAACAAAACAGTATTACAATTCAAAACGTTATCAGTTTTATTGACTTGAAACAATCAATTTTAAAACAAAAAAATTGCATAATAATAGATAACATATATAAAAAAACAATCTTGACTAATTTATGTGGTGTGGTTCTTTGAGTAATACAATAAATTATCTGTGAAAAAATAGACCAAAATATTTTTTTTAAATTATTATTTTGGCTTGTTTTGGTTCGATTAAAAATGTAAACAGATACAAAGTTAAATGCCACTCTTGTTTTGTTAACTCGGCTGGCACCAAAATGGAAGCTCTGAATCTGTGTGTGGCGGCCCTTCTTCTCCTGGCTGCTGTTTCTGACGGCTCACGTCTGAAGAACAAGCTGAAAACCTCCACGAACGTCAGCAGGAAAAGTCTAGCAGACGGCAGCCTCTACAAAAGACAGAGTGAGTCGTCGATTACATTTAGATTTTAACCAGACATACATATTCGTATCTTGCAGAGTTTCTTTCAGGTATCTATTCGGTCTGCTGAGCCCCCCCCCCCTCCCCTGAACGAAATAGAATTTGTATATAAAATATATTCTTTTACCCGTGTTACCCCCTCCTCCAGTAAATTTAGTCCACCCCTCGGACAATTTAGTCCTCACCCCCCCTACTCCCGGAGAAAAAAGTCTGAAAGAAACAATGGTATCTGATATCTCCAATAACTATTTGTAAAACTCTAAACGAATCCCATTTCATACTTTATACATTTATTGTAACAGTTAAATGTAAGGTGAATGCATTTTTCGAGTATGTTTCATAAAAAGTCGATATAAATCTAAAATATAGTGTGGGTGTGCTCATGCGCTAAAAAAGGAAGCAAGGAAGAGAGAGCGGGAAGAAAATGGCGATGTTTTGGCAGTGAAGTCGTTGTATCAATGAACCAATAAAATCATGAAAATTTTCTGAACGTGGATTGTTTAATGTTATAAATCAGACTATAATATGTAATAACAAAGGAGGAGAGAGGAGAGCGGTTATTTGTTTTTTTGAGTTCGTGCCATGATTGGCAGCAGAAAAGGCCGTGACATTTATGTATACAAATCCCGGGCAAAAAAAAGTTCTATTATTGGGGTCGGCGTGGTCGAGTCGGTAAAGCTCATGGTCTCGAGTTCGAACCCCCGGGCAGATGAGGCCCGTTAGCTGGGGACAGCCACTCTTCTAGGAGAGACAACTCCAAAATTAAACAACTGCTGCCTTGTAGTCTGTTCTTGGTTGGACAAAGGCTATGGAAGCAAATCCAAAAATAAAAGCAGGCTGAAATCGGAGTCAATTGCCTCAATGGCGCATAACCAGTTGACACGTAACGCTTAATTGTGTTGGAGGCGTGGTCGAGTCGGCAAAAAGCTCATGGTTGATAAATTCGAACAAAGTCTCGAGTTCAAACGCACTGGCAGATAAATCTCGATCCCCTTCAACACTAATAATTAAGAACGAAGAAGAAGAAGAAGTCATCGGCGATCAGCACCGTATGTCTAACTATCTGGTGTTCATTAGCGTGACCCGCGGGGACGGGGCGTGGTTTGCGTTCCGCACCGGGTGACACAATGTTGTAGGTGACACCAAGACAAAAATCTGTTAAAGTTAGTGTCAAAATATAAAGTCTTATCCAAATAAAAAATGAACAAGTAGTGGGAGGGGTGACAATAAAAACAAAGGTGCATTTTTGTTGAACGGGGGTGGGTGACACCATTAATTACCGCGCCGTGTGATACCCAAAGTAGGGATAGCACTATTTGTGCTTATATGCTTTGCTTATTATCATGTGTGCATTGTATTTCTAACAATGTGTACTTTGTACTTCTAACCATGTGTACTTTGTACTTCTAACCATGTGTAGTTTGTATTTCTAACAATGTGCACTTTGTACTTCTAACAATGTGTACTTTGTACTTCTAGCCATGTGAACTTGTACTTCTAACCATGTGAACTTGTACTTCTAACAATGTGTACTTTTTACTTCTAACCATGTGTACTTTGTACTTCTAAACATGTGCACTTTGTATTTCTAACAATGTGTACTTTGTACTTCTAACCATGTGTACTTTGTACTTCTAAACATGTGCACTTTGTATTTCTAACAATGTGTACTTTGTACTTCTAACCATGTGCAGTTTGTATTTCTAACAATGTGTACTTTGTACTTCTAACCATGTGTACTTTGTACTTCTAACCATGTGCACTTTGTACTTCTAACCATGTGTACTTTGTACTTCTAACAATGTGCACTTTGTATTTCTAACAATGTGTACTTTGTATTTCTAACAATGTGTACTTTGTACTTCTAACTATGTGTACTTTGTACTTCTAAACATGTGCACTTTGTATTTCTAACTATGTGTACTTTGTACTTCTAACCATGTGCACTACCCACCCACTCATCCATTCACCCCTCAACCCATCCATCTAGCCAATAAATTAAACACCCCCACTCACTCACCCATCCTACCATCCATCAACCCATCCACCCAACAATAAATGTAACCACCCATTAATCCACCCACCCACCCACCCACATAACTACCCACAGACCTAGTGACCTGTGCACCCAACGAATTTCGATGCGACAACCACCGATGTATCCCGGCAGTCTGGATGTGCGACGGTAAAAACGATTGTGGCACTG